GAGGAAATGGTTTCAGTTTTTCACCATTGATGATGATGTTGGCTGTGGGTTTATCATATATGGCCTTTATTATGTTGAGGTAAGTTCCCTCTATGCCTGCTTTCTGGAGAGTTTTTATCATAAATGGGTGTTGAATTTTGTTGAAAGCTTTTTCTACAGCTATGGAGATGATCATATGGTTTTTATCCTTCAGTTTGTTAATATGGGGTATCACATTGATTGATTTGCGTATATTGAAGAATCCTTGCATCCCTGGGATACACCCCCACTTGATCATGGTGTATGATCCTTTTAATGTGCTGTTGGATTCTGTTTGCTAGTATTTTGGTGAGGATTTTTGCATCTATGTTCATGAGTGATATTGGTCTTTAGTTTTCTTTTTTGTGCCATCTTTGTCTGATTTTGGCATCAGGGTGATGGTGACCTTGTAGAATGAGTTTGGGAGTGTTCCTCCCTCTGCTATATTTTGGAAGAGTTTGAGAAGGATAGGTGTTAGCTTTTCTCCAAACTGATAGAATTCGCCTGTGAAGCAGTCTGGTCCTGGGCTTTATGTTTGTTGGAAGATTTTTAATCACAGTTTCAATTTCAGTGCTTGTGGTTGGTCTGCTTATATTTTCTATTTCTTCCTGGTTCAGTCTCAGAAGGTTGTGCTTTTCTAAGAATTTGTCCCTTTCTGCAGGTTGTCCATTTTTTTGGCATACAGTTCCGTGTAGTAATCCCTCATGATTCTTTGATTTCTGCAGTGTCAGTTGTTACTTCTCCTTTTTCATTTCTAATTCTGTTGATTTGAGTCTTCTCCCTTTTTTTCTTGAAGAGTCTGGCTAATGGCTTATCAATTCAGTTTATCTTCTAAAAGAACCAACTTTTAGTTTTATTGATCTTTGCTATTGTGTCATTCACTTCTTTTTCATTCATTTCTGGCCTTATCTTTATGATTTCTTTCCTTCTGCTAACTTTGGGGTTTTTTTGTTCTTCTTCCTCTAATTGCTTTAGGTGTAAGGTTAGGTTGTTTATTTGAGATTTTTCTTGTTTCTTGATGTAGGATTGTATTGCTATAAACTTCCCTCTTAGACCTGCTTTTGATGCATCCCATAGGTTTTGGGTTGTTGTGTTTTCATTGTCATTTGTTTCTAGGTATTTTTTGATTTCCTCTTTGATTTCTTCAGTGATCTCTTCATTATTTGGTAGTGTATTGTTTAGCCTCCATGTGTTTGTATTTTTTACATTTTCTTTCCTGTAACTGATATCTAGTCTCATAGCGTTGTGGTGGAGAAGATACTTGATACGATTTCAATTTTCTTAAATTTACCAAGGCTTGATTTGTGGCCCAAGATATGATCTATCCTGGAGAATGTTCCATGAGCACTTGAGAAGAAATTGTATTCTGTCATTTTTGAATGTAATGTCCTATAAATATCAATTAAGCCCATCTTGTCTAATGTGTCATTTAAAGCTTGTGTTTCCTTATTTATTTTCATTTTGGATGATCTGTCCTTTGGTGAAAGTGGGGTGTTAAAGTCCCCTACTATGATTTTGTTACTGTTGATGGCCCCTTTTATGGCTGTTAGCATTTGCCTTATGTATTGAGGTGCTCCTATATTGGGTGCATAAATATTTACAATTGTTATATCTTCTTGTTGGATTGATCCTTAGATCATTATGTAGTGTCCTTGTCTCTTGTAATAGTCTTTATTTTAAAGTCTATTTTGTCTGATATGAGAATTGCTACTCCAGCTTTCTTTTGATTTCCATTTGCATGGAATATCTTTTTCCATCCCCTCACTTTCAGTCTGTATGTGTCCCTAGGTCTGAAGTGGGTGTCTTGTAGACAGCATATATATGGGTCTTGTTTTTGTATCCATTCAGCCAGTCTACGTCTTTTGGTTGGAGCATTCAATCCATTTACATTTAAGATTATTCTCAGTATGTATGTTCCTACTCCCATTTGCTTAATTGTTTTGGGTTTGTAGGTCTTTTCCTTCTCTTGTGTCTCCTGCCTATAGAAGTTCCTTAGGCATTTGTTATAAAGCTGGTTTGTTAGTGCTGAATTCTCTTCACTTTTGCTTGTCTGTAAAGGTTTTAATTTCTCCATTGAATCTGAATGAGATCCTTGCTGGGTAGAGTAATCTTGGTTGTAGGTTTTTCCCTTTCATCACTTTAAACATGTCCCTTCTGGCTTGCATAGTTTCTGCTGAAAGATCAGCTGTTAACCTTATGGGGATTCCCTTGTATGTTATTTGTTGTTTTTCCCATGCTGCCTTTAATATTTTTTATTTGTATTTAATTTTTGATAGTTTGATTAATATGTGTCTTGGTGTGTTTCCCCTTGGATTTATCCTGTATGGGACTCTCTGCACTTCCTGGACTTGATTGACTATTTCCTTTCCCATGTTAGGGAAGTTTTCAACTATAATCTCTTCAAATATTTTCTCAGACCCTTTTTTCTCTTCTTCTGGGACCCCTATAATTCGAACGTCGGTGCATTTAATGTTTTCCCTGAGGTCTCTGAGACTGTCCTCAATTCTTCTCATTCTTTTTTGTTTATTCTGCTCTGTGGTAGTTATTTCCACTATTTTATCTTCCAGGTCACTTATCCATTCTTATCTTCCAGGTCACTTATCCGACAGACAAATTTCTATCTTTCCATTTAGATTAACTCTGTGTTTAGGGTCTCCTTTTCACAGGATGCAGGTTTGTAATTCCTGTTGTTTTTGGTGTCTGCCCCCTGTGGGTAAGGTTGGTTCAGTGGCTTGTGTAGGCTTCCTGGTGGAGGGCACTGGTGCCTGGGTTCTGGTGGGTTGGGCTGGCTCTTTTCTTTCTGGTGGGCAGGGCTGCATCCGGTGGTGTGTTTTTGGGGTGTCTGTGCATTCAGTATGATTTTAGGTAGCCTCTCTGCTAATCTGTGGGATTGTGTTCCTGTCTTGCTTTGGCATGGGGTGTCCAGCACTGAAGCTTGCTAGCCATTGGGTGGCGCTAGGTCTTAGTGTTGAGACAGAGATCTCTGGGAGAGCTCTTGCCAATTGTTATTACTTGGGGCTGGGAGGTCTATGGTGGTCCAATGTCCTTAACTCAGCTCTCCCACCACAGACGCTCAGGCCTGATATCAGGCTGGAGCATCAAGACCCTATCAGCCACATGGCTCAGAAGAAAAGGGAGAAAAAAAGAAAGAAAAAATTAAATTAAAATTTAAAAACTTTTTAAAAATTATTAAAATTAAAAAGTAATTAAAAAAAGAAGAGAGCAACCAAACCAATAAACAAATCCACCAATGATAACAAGCACTAAAAACTATACTAAGCATAAAAATCAGAAACAAGTCAGTCTCAGACAGCAAACCTGAAGTCTACAATTTACCGTCCCCACCAGTGAAGGGGCTTCCTATTGTGTGGAAACTTTTCCTCCTTCACAGCTCCCTCCCAGATGTGGAAGTCCCGTCCCTATTCTTTTGTCTCTGTTTTTACTTTTTTCTTTTGTTCCACCCAGATACGTAGGGATTTCTTGCCCTTGGGAAGTCTGAGGTCTTCTGCCAACGTTCAGTAGGTGTTCTGTAGGAGTGTTCCACATGCAGATGTATTTTTGATGTATTTGTGAAGAGGAAGGTGATCTCCACATCCTACTCCTCCGCCATCTTGATGGTCTCCCAATTCCCACTTATTTAACTAGATAGTTATATTTTAGATAAATTTGACCCTTAACCCTTAAGATTCTAACTTGCTTCCCTACAGCCCCACCCTGCCCTTTCCCTAAAGACTGTACCTTTCCCACCATCTTGCAAACTTAACACAACATGTGAAATGTAAGTTCATTAACTCTCTGGTAGACCATGGCATGGCGTAATCTTATCACTGCCTACATTTGTATACTCCTCTACAACTTTTGCCCTCTTCCCTCTTTAGACTGACCTTAGAATTATCTCCTCCTGTTCAGTATCTTTAACCTAACTCACCTCTTTACAAACCTTTAAAATATGCTTATAATTTCACTAGCTACCTTCTGATCTCTTACCTTCTTTTCAGGGACAAGTTCCTTGAGCATCCAACCTCTGTTTGTTGTCTTTACTGCCTATCCAACCACTTCCCTCTATATTGTTTTCACTTTGGCTTTTGCTCTTCCCACACTTCCAAATCTGATACTCTGAAGGTTACTAATGGTCTCCTTTTTTGTTGAATCCAATTGTGTACATCCAGTATTTTTTTCATAGGCCTCATTCTTTTTATCATTTGACTTTAGGTCAATCACCCTCTTTTCTCCTGACATTTAGAGTTTGTATTTCTTGGTTTTCTTTCAAAATTTTGTGAATGTCTCCTTTGCTGGTGCTTATTCCACCCTTCTTAATACTGGGTGTGGGGTGTGGAAGGGAATTGCTGAGAGGTAGTGGGTTTGTCTCCACATCCCTTTTTGGCTTTTCATTCTTTCTCTATACTTATTTACTAAGTAAGCACATATGCTATGCCTTTACCTGTTACCTCCACTGGGATAATTCTAAAATATACATCTCCAGTTCTGACCTGTGGTGCAGTACTACAACTTGAAAAAGTTTCCATTTTCATGTCTGAAAGTTGTCACAACACTAACTAATCTTTCCCTAGCTTTAGTACCTCATTTTGCCCAATCTCTTAATAAAAGCATGCAAACATCTTGAACTATTTTTCTTCCCTTGTATATCTAGTCATTAAGTACTAATATTTACTTCTTTTAAACTACATTTTGGACTCACCCTTTCCACTGAGACCACTCTAGCCCCATTATGTCATTCATGCTGCATAGAAAATGCCATGTGTTTTGGTGTCAGAGCTAGAATGCAATATTCTATAGCTCTAGAATATCACATTTACATTATTTATATAAATAACCCAAGATAAACCCATTAGTGATTACTGAAATATTTTTGTCAATGAATCTGTTTTAATGTTGATGCTTATATTTGCTTTCAAAACAGGATGATAATCAAATCAGTTTTTAATAATAAAGACTTACACATGAGTAGTGTTGCTACTCACCCTGAAGAAAGAGGAATTTTAAATTTCTTAGTCTGTTAAGCTGTAGCTGAATGAGATTACAAATTCCGTTGTAGCCCAAATGAAGAACTTCTAAACTGTGCATTATTGGAGGCAAATTTTCACTGCTCATTGTATCTCTGAAACACACATGTAAGTTTGAGCCCATAAACTTAATTTCAAACCAGCTGTTTGTATAAACATGAAAAGACAGTTTAGTATGTATTTACTATAAATTGAAGTTTAAAAAGAAAAAGAATGAATTTAGTAATAAATCAAACTATAATATTCTGTCTTCATAATTTATATAATAATCACATTTTCTTCTTTAAAAAGTTTTATATGCTAAAGAACAAAGAAATATAGAAAGAGTTACTTGAAATAAAAAGCAAGAGCCAGTGCAATCAGGCAAGAAAAAGAAAAAAACAAATGTATTCAGATTGGAAAGGAATTAGTAAAACTGTCCTTATTCTCAGATGACAGGATCTTATATTTAGAAAATCCTTAGGAATCCACCAAAAAACTATTATTGCACCAATAAATGAGTTCAGCAAGATTACAGGGTAAAAGATTAATATACAAAAATCAACTGAATTTCTATACATCTTCAATAAACTGAGAATGAAATTAAGACTTCTATTCACAATAGTATAAAAAAGGATAAAATGCTTCACAAAAAATTAACAAAAGGAGTACAAAATGTATACACAGAAGATTACAAAACATTGCTGAGATAAATTAAAGATCTAAATAAATGGAGAAATATTCTGTGTTCACAGATTAGAAGACTCACTATTACTACTAAGATGGTAGTTGTCCCAAAATTGATCAATAGATTCAATGCAATCTCTATCTAAAGTCCAGCAGGTTTTCTTTCTTCTTTTTTTCTCCAGAAAATAACCATCTCATCATAACAGTTATAAGGAAATGCAAATAACCCAGAATATCCAAAACAATCTTTAAAGGAACAAGGTTGGAGGGCTTACATGTCCTGATTTCAAAACTTATAAAGCTGCAGTAATCAAACCAGTCTGGAACTGGCAAAAGGACAGACACCTAGATCAATGGAATAGAATTTAGAGTCCAGAAACAAACTTTTATATTTATGGTCAATTGCTTTTCAACAAAGGTACCAAGGCAACTCAGTGGGGGAAAGGATAGTATATTAAACAAATGGTGCTGGGACAAATGAATATACACGTGCAAAAAGATGGATTTAGCCCTCACATTTTACCTCACAACATGTACAAAAATAAACTCAAAATGGATCATAGTCCTAAATGTAAGAGGAAAAAAATTTTTTTGAAGAAAACATATGAGAAAATCTTTGTGAACTTAGGTTAGGCAAAGAGTTCTTAGGTACAACAACAAAATCATAATCTGTAAGACAAAAAGTTGATAAATTGGACTTTATCAAAATTAAAATTCTTTTAAAAGACACTTTAAGAAAATAAAAAGACAAGCCACACATTGAGAGAAAATACTTGTAAATCATTTATTTGATAAAGGGCTTGTATCCAGAATATTTAAAGAACTCAGTAATAAAAAACCAAACAACATAATTGAAAAATAAGCAAAAGATTTAAACAGTCACAAATAAGATATAATAATGGCTAATGGGGGCTTCCCTGGTGGCGCAGTGGTTGAGAGTCCGCCTGCCAATGCAGGGGACACGGGTTCGTGCCCTGGTCCGGGAGCATCCCACATACCGCGGAGCGGCTGGGCCCGTGAGCCATGGCCGCTGAGCCTGCGCGTCCGGAGCCTGTGCTCCGCAACGGGAGAGGCCACAACAGTGAGAGACCCGCATACCGCAAAAAAAAAAAAAAAAAAAAAAGCAAATTAAAACCATAATAAGGTACTTCTTTAACTCCACTAGAATGGCTGTAATCAAAAACACAGACAACAAGTGTTGGTGTGGATGTGGGGAAATTAGAACCTTCAAAATTTTTTGGTAATGTAAAGTGGTGCAACCACTTTGGAAAACAGTGTGGCAGTTTCTTAAAAAGTTAAAAATTAAATTACCATACCACTCAGGAATTTCACTCTTAGGTGTCTACTCAAGAGAAATGTGAACATGAGCACATACAAATACTTCTACACAAATCTTTATAGCATCATTATTCATACCAACCCCAAAGTGGGAACAGTCCAAATGTCTATCAACTGGTGAATAGATAAACATGATGTGGAATATATCCAGACAATGGAATGCCCAACATATTCAGCAATAAAAAAAGAATGAACTACTAATAGATGCTATAACATGGATGAATCTCAAAAACATTATGTTAAGTGTAAGAAGTCAAATGCAAAAGACCACATATATTATTCCATTTATATAAAATGTCTAGAAAACATAACTCTCTAGAAAGTAGATTAGTGGTTTCTTGGACCTAGAGGTGCAAAAGGGAATTGACTCCAAATAGACACAAGGCATCTCTCTATTGTGTGATGGAAATGTTCTAAAACTGTACTGCAGTAGGTAGTAATTGCACAATTCTATAAATAGTAAAAATTATACACTTAAAATGAGTGAATATGGTAAGTAAACTGTACTTCAGTAAAGCTGTTAAAAAACAAATCTGAGTAGTCTCCAATATAAAGGATGTGTATAAATTTTCATAGCAACTTTAATCAAAATAGCTTCAAACTGGAAATAACCCAAATGTTCATCAATGATAAATAGATAAACAACTTGTCATATAATGGAATACTACTCAGCAATAAAATGAAATTTATTTATCATACAATATAAGTATGAAATGGAGAAGGCTGGGAAAAAACAATAACAAAGAAGTATTTTGGTATCTTTTTATTTGTGAAGTTTATTTTTGGCATGTAGCTATTAAATTAAGTATTAAAATAAGCTAAATGTATGTACTGCTGTCATTAATGTGACTAACTGCTTTTTAAATTCCCAACCAAAATTATTTATAGTTGTAAAAAAAAAAGAATAATACCTGTTTATTTTTGAAGTTCCTTGCTGCCCATAGCCACTTGAAGGCACTTTCTGGTAGAGTAGTTGTCTATTGGTCAAGTGAGTCTGAGGCTTTAGTCGGGGCATGATTGATTCAATATGATTATAGTTGAGGCATAAGACCTACGGAAGGAATCCATTATTAATCATATATTAACATAGGAATGATGCTGTAAATATACCTTTGGCTATACAACATAATTTAATATATTAGTGTTAAAAATGACAAATTTTTATGTCCTAAATTGTCTGGATTTGGCTTTGAATGTGTTTTTTATCATCTGACATGCTGAAAAATACACCATTTCAAACAAAATAATGGAGACCTAGAAAGTTGCTCAACTTTCTCAATCTGTACTCCGGACTTCTCCAAGCCTTATTTAGATGAAATAACTCTAGTTGGAGAGATCGTTATTTCCCTAAGTTTAAAAGGAATTAGTAGATGGCTCAAAGCTGTAGGACAGGAGGTGATGAGGCTGCTTTGAGAACCACAGTATCCTCCAACTTCACTCACTACAGAGGCAGCCTTCCATCCCATCTCCTATTAGACAGGAAGACTCACTGCTTATAAGACAATCACATAAAATTGAGATCAACTGAAATAACTTTGGGAAGTAATGCTTTTTTTCTTGGTGAAAAAATACTTTCAGAAAATTAATTTCTCTTCTTTAATGACATGAATATACATTTTAGCCCGAAGTAAAGAAGATTACAACTTGCACTGAAAACCTTGAAAGAAAAAAAGAAAATTTGTGAGCGACTCACCTTCACGTTAGGCAGATAGATTAATCCACTGAATGAGGTAAGATTATTGTTCTGTAGATTCACATTACACACATTTCTAAATTGGTCAACTGGAATCAAATCCACAGTTCTGAATTTAGACAGAGTAAATACAGTTATAATTTTAACAGGCAAATTATATTGGTGAATCTCTCATGTGTAACCCCAAAGGCGTTTTTAAAAGATCTGATCTGACAAATTCTATGGAAAAGAATTGCCTTAATATAAAATATATGCGTCAGGGCTTCCCTGGTGGCGCAGTGGTTGAGAATCCACCTGCCAATGCTGGGGACACAGGTTCGAGCCCTGGTCCAGGAAGATCCCACATGCTACGGAGCAACTAAGCCTGTACACCACAACTACTGAGCCTGCGCCCAGAGCCTGCGAGCCACAACTACTGAGCCCGCGAGCCACAACTACTGAGCCCACGTGCCACAACTACTGAAGCCCACGCACCTAAAGCCCTTGCCCCGCAGCAAGAGAAGCCACCACAATGAGAAGCCCGCGCACTGCAACAAAGAGTAGCTCCTGCTCGCTGCAAACAGAGAAAGCCACGCACAGCAACGAAGAACCAAAGCAGCCAAAAATAAATAAATAAATTTATTTATTTATTTTTAAAAATAAATAAAAAGTAAAGTTAGTTTAAAAAAATAAAATATATGGGCCAAATGATCAGATAAATACACATTTTTGTTGGGTACATGTGTAAGAAAATGACATACAATTTCATTGATTTAAAAAAACATGTCTATTATCACATAAATATAGAACTATCATAAAAGAAACATTAAAAATAAACATTTCCAATTTCTTTATAATTCCATACATGTTCATGAAGTCATAGTGAAGTTGATATGGTAAACCATAAGATTTTCAGGTTGTAAACTGCAGAGGATATATATGAAATAGGTTATTTCTGAAATGCCAGGAAGGGGTTTGGGATAGGAAAGAAAAGGAGAAAGTAGGTAATTTCTTTGAAAACAGAGTTTTCTGTGGAATCTCCTGAAAACTTTTATGGCATTCCACCTTGTAAGGATGTTTTGGTAATTGGTCAGAATGCTTGATTCCTAGTCCACAGCTTTAAAAGTGTTTTACCTTCCTTTGAGCTATGAGGGAGAAGAGCATAAAGCTTAATCACCTTGTTCTAAACACTTCTTTTTTTCATATATCCCAATTTGTTTCATTTATATATTCTTTTAATTGAGGTATAATTGATATACAATATTATGTAAGTTTCAGGTGTACAACATACTGATTCACAATTTTTAAAGATTATATTCCATTTATATTTGTTATAAAATACTGGCTATATTCCCTGTGTTGTACAGTATATCCTTGTGGCTTATTTATTTTATACATAGTAGTTTGTACCTCTTAATCTCCTACCCTTATCTTGTCTCACCCCCTTCCTTCTCCCCACTAGTAACCACTAGTTTGTTCTCTGTATCTGTGAGTCTTTTTTGTTATATTCATAGTTTATTTTTTACATATAAGTAATATCATACAGTATTTGTCTATCTCTGTCTGACATATTTCACTTAGCATGATACCCTCCACGTCCATCCATGTTGTTGCAAATAGCAAAAACAAAATTTCCTGCTTTTTTGTGGCTGAGTACTATTCCATTTTATATGTATATACCACATCTTCTTTATTCATCTGTTTATGGTCACTTAGGTTTCTTCCATATCTTGGCAATTGTAAATAATGTTGCTATGAACATTGGGGTGCATGTATCTTTTTTGAATTAGTGTTTTCATTTTTTCCCAGGAGTGGAATTGCTGAGTCACATGGTAGTTCTATTTTTAGTTTTTTTGAGAAACCATACTGTTTTTCATAGTGGCTGTACCAATTTACATTCCTACCAACAGTATATGAGAGTTCCTTTTTCTCCACATCCTCGTCAACATTTGTTGTTTGTGGTCTTTTTGATGATAGCCATTCTGACAAGTGTGAGATGATATCTCATTGTGTTTTTTGTTTGTTTGTTTGTTTTTTGCGGTAAGCGGGCCTCTCACTGTTGTGGCCTCTCCCGTTGTGGAGCACAGGCTCCAGATGCGCAGGCTCAACGGCCATGGCTCAGAGGCCCAGCCGCTCCACGGCATGTGGGATCCTCCCGGACCAGGGCACGAACCCGTGTCCCCTACATCGGCAGGCGGACTCTCAACCACTGCGCCACCAGGGAAGCCCTCATTGTGGTTTTAATTTGCATTTCTCTGATGATAAACGATGTTGAGCATCTTTTCATGTGCCTGTTGGCTATCTGTATGTCTTCTTTGGGAAATGTCAATCCAGATCTCTTCTGCCCATTTTTAATCAGGTTGGTTGTTTTTTTTTTTTTGATGTTGAATTGTATGGTCTGTTTATATATTTTGGATATTAACTTCTTGTTGGTCATATATTTAATTTGCAAATACTTTTTCACATTCAGTAGGTTGTCCTTTCATTTTGTTGATGGTTTCCTTGGCTGTGCAAAAGCCTACCACACCTTTAAACAAATGCTCACCCCTAAAGTTATAATTATGACACACTTTATACATTAAAAGTCATTTATTCTTTTGACATGTTTTCATTAGTTTATTTCCTAAGTGCAGACAATATGTTTGGAAAGGCTACAACAAATATGAAAGTCACTGTCTGTGTCCTCAAGAAATGGGATTCAGAGAAACTATAATAAAAAAGGAAGGGCCTTCTATGTTGTACAAAGAGATTTAAAATTTTATTCTGTAGACAGTGGAAAGACACTGAACAATGTTGAGAAGGGAAGTGATCTGATAAAACTTGCATCTTAGAAGGCGGTATGGATAATAGATGGATTTGCAGGTAAGGTTGTATAAGACAAAAAAAAAAAATAGTTTCTAAATTAGTTAATTCCCCAACCTAGGACAAGGGCAATGACTATGGAAAGAAGGGGGGAACTATGACACATACTTAAGACACAGACTCTATAGAATGTAGTGATTAATTAAAAACGGAGGACAAGGGCTTCCCTGGTGGCACAGTGGTTGGGGGTCTGCCTGCCCATGCAGGGGACGCCGGTTCGTGCCCCGATCCGGGAGGATCCCACGTGCCGCGGAGCGGCTGGGCCCGTGAGCCGTGGCCGCTGAACCTACGGGTCCGGAGTCTGTGCTCCGCAATGGGAGAGGCCGCAGCGGTGAGAGGCCCGCGTACCGCAAAAAAACAAACAAACAAAACAATGGAGGACAAAGGAGAGAGAGTGGACTCTAGATTTTTGGCTTGGGCGACAACAGGTGAATGTTGTTTCCTAGATGCTATCTAGAGAGCAATCGAATATTCAAATTAGGAGGCTAGATTTGGGGTAAATTAGGGGGTCATCGTCATAAATTAAAACTATGGCTAAAGATGTCTGCCTGTGAAGAGTGCAGAATAGAAAAAGAAGAGAAACGGATTTATTAAACAGGAGGACAATGATAACATTCATGAGAACTGCATCAGAGGAATGGTGGCAGTGGTAGCCAGAGAGCATTGGATTAGAGTGGTACAATGTGAGGAGCAAACCTAGTATGTTCTAATTTTAAAAGCTTGATTGTAAAAGAAAAGGGAAATATAAGGTCTTAGAAAGAGATTGATGACATTTTTAATCATAGTGTGTGATAATAAAAGTTATTAATGCAATTCAAAGATGGTAAAGTTAGTATGAAATTGTGAAGTAGTGTAGATGATTTTCTGAATTACTGGTTATATTTGGATAAGATGTATAAATTATAAACCTTAGAAAAATAATAATAACTATATATTATAATATCAAATAGCATAGAATTAAATGATTGTACCTGATGGATGATGAAGTCCAATTTAGTTCTTGCATTTGGGTGAAGTTTGAATGTCTTTGTCGTTCAGCAATCATGTCAGAAGTAAGTCTGCCACCAAACAAATCTTTTGCACACTCAATCTCTGGTGGTTCCTGTATATGAGGATATTTAGAAAGTGAGGTTCTCTCTTACAGATGACTAAATGACATTAATTCTTTGGTTCCAGGTCAAAATGGAATAGCCTCATTTCTCCCTATTTCCTACTAAGTACAGCTAAACCCTTGGATATTATATATAAAATAAATATAGGAGACTGAAAGGTGCAGAGAAGAAGGCAGACCACCTAGGGACCTTGAGACCTGAGGAATGAAACTGTGGTGAGTCCTCTGGTGTGTTACTGAGATAATAATAAGAAACCTTCATCTACTGTTCCTGGCCTGGCCATATGGTCAGGCAGGAGGGCAATGGAAAACTGACCTATTAAAAAGATGCCCATATGGGGCACAGCCCTATGGAAATTTGAGGTGTACATTAAAGTAGGACACATTGATGCCCATCTGAACTCTCTTCCCATTTTGGAAGGTGATTGGAATTGACAAGCAGATATGCCCATATGCTCACTTAAGGTGGCCACCTGGGTCTATAAAATAGGTGGACATTGGGGGTCTACAGCAGTGCGGAGATGGGCTGAATCTAGACATATTCCTCTTGCACCCTCTGAGGCACTAAATGCCAATAAGAACTGTTCTGTCTGCCAGCAAAAGAGACAGAGACTGCAGATGGCTATGTGGCAGATTTCCCTGTGGTAAAGCCCTGAATATAGCTGGCAAGTCAGACTGAGGCTGGTAGCCCTGGGGGACTACAAATGGGTCTTGACAGGAATATATACTGACTCTGGACTGGGATTTGCTTACCCAGTGTAAATGCAAATGCACATAATGCTATAAAAGAACTGGAACAGAAGATATTGCACCAATCTGGACAGTTGACTTATTTCTTCAGACCAAGGAACACACTGAACAGCCCATAATGTCTAACAGTGGGCAGAAAGATATCCCCCTCAGAGTAGTAGTTCAATAGAGAACTAGAATGGGCAATTAAAACATTGGTTGTCTAAAATGCGGGGGGAGATAAAAGCATGATGGGCTGGCTTAAATACCTTCCTAAGAGTGCTCATACTCAGTGTGAACATGAATGGGGCTAAAGGAGGGTCCCCGCTGGATAGACTTCTGTTTTTCTGGTGCATCTGGGGGATGGGACAAGGATGCTGATATGACTATGCAATTCTTGCGAAAGAAGGATGATGCTGGTACAACCATTATATTTCTTCTTTCATTCTTCCTCACATCACCTCAAATTTTTTTTCTACCTGATGCAGTGGCCACAGGACCACAGCTACAACTACAAATACTGGAAACAGGGATAATTCCTAAGCGAGAAACTATGTTTTTAAGCCTTTTGTCAGGATTCCTAAAGGCCTGATGGGGGTAGGTTTTACCTTCACCCCATCTGGCAAAACTGGGGTTAACAGTGAATGTATCTGTATTTCCTGGTGGCAAAAATAGCCCACTAGTTTTGCACCTATATAACCTTGTCCTATCTGAAGTGGGGTGGACTGAGGGGAGGTATATGCTAGACTAGACCAGCACAGTGGCTGAATCTAATATCCCTTCCAAAGGTGGAAAAGTATGGTTATAAATGGAGAGAACAGGGAAGGGCACTTACGGGTAAAGGAATTAATAAATAGATTATGTAATGAGGAAATCCAATATTATATTACCTCAAAAGGGGTTCAGAGCAAGAGATGATATTGTCTCAGTTCAATTATATCAGATCCTGAAGAAAGGATTAAGCTATGTGTTTTGAGACCACTCCTGCTTTTGGAACCTGACAACGTCTCCAATGGAAACCTGCAAATCTGAGTGGCCTCACTGGGAGAGACATTTCTATATGATTATGGACTGGATAATTACTGAATGGGATTACAGTAATATTCCAATATATTTTGAATTTTCTGATCATTTTGCTCTAAAGGATCTGTGTTCAAAGGCCAGAGCATGAGCTGTGATATTGTGATTTATAATAAGAAACCTATATTTGGTCTTTGTCTACTGTTCCTGGCACATAGCTCCTCAAACCCTCATAATTTCCTATATAAGAGCCATAGGGGCATCTTTTATTATAATATTTGGTTTTTTGTTTTCGGTTTCTGAAATAGGTCCAGAGCCATAAAGGTGAAAGGACTGTGTTGCTATTTATGACAAGCTCCTTTCAACCAGTCTGAGTATCTTAACAAGATGACTTTTGGAAAGTCCTTAAGAATGGGGGCTGGTTGCCAGGGGCAGCAACCATGATTAGAGGGTTGGAACTTCCAGTACCACTCCCTTACTTCCTGGTATGATTATATATCCATGGAGCCTTGGGCACAGAGTGAGGCTCAGCTGTCCATACTTTACCATTAAAAAGTCATGTCACTTGGAATGTCATTTAAATTCTCTGGAGTTCTTTGCGCTCATTGATAAAATAAAGGATTTAGACTATGTCATTTCTAAAGTCCAGGTCCATTTACCTCTCAAACACTCTAGGATTATATTGCTCTTCTACTTCCCTCTGTGTCTACTTTTGGTGGCTTCTTTTCCTCTTTACATTTCCTAAATGGAAGTATTAAAGGCTCACTTGGATTTCTTTACTTTCTTTACTCTCTTTCCTTAGTCAATGTTATATCCTTTTGGTTTTAATTATCAGCTTTCTTCGTGTGTCTAACACTAATCATCTTATTCCTGAAAATGCTTTTCTTCCTGTAATCATATTTCTGTTATGATATCTCTTAGTGGAATAGACTCAAGTCTTGTAGACATCTTTTATTCTTCCATTTCCTCGTCCTTCAAATTTCATTGGTTGCCAAGTTCTGTCAATTCTTCCCAGTATTTCTCCTACCTTTCAGCTCTCCATTTTTAAAACCACTTCCCCTTGGTTTATTTCAGTTTCTCATTACCTCACATGTAGACCACGCTAATAGCCTCCTATTGGTTTTTCATCAATCACTTTAAACACTGCTGTTAAATTTCCTAATATATGGTTTTCAAAATGTTATTCCCCAATTCAAAAATCTTCAATGCCTTCCCATTACCTCTCAATTAAAGTCTAAATTATTCAATCTAGTCTTCATGTCCATTATTAATTCATATATTTATATTCTACCTCATTCCACAAAGAATTTATGGCAGCTTACAGGAGGAACATATACTCAAATAGTAAAATGCAAATAATAAATAGTGAAGATCAAGACTGAGGATGATGTAAGTTAAATAGATCAAAACTGGGGATAGGGACAGATAGACCATAAGTCCTACAGGGTTTCTGTCATTGAACCATAAATGTGGCCCTGAGCTTTTAGGTAGTCAAAGTGAAAAGGAAAATAGTTTAAAAATACTCATTGTCAGTGAGGACAGCATAACTTTTCCTCAGGGAGGAAAGGTTTTCCTACACTGACTTCTAAAAGCACTTTCTCAGGTGGCCCTTCAAATGAGGGCACAGAGAGATAGGAAGGATAAGATACTCAACACCACCATTGGAGCACATACAGTACTAGTTTCATGAGACTGTTTTTAAAGCGTCCCTCAGTGAAAGCCAACACCTAAATAAAACCCAGTATACAAGATTCTAGAGAATTGTTTGTGTTTGGGGGAGAATATTTTTGATTCTTCATTCTGAGAAGGGCCCTGAAAAAAATCAGGGTTAGAATTAGTAATTTTCTCAGAGCACCTCAAAGTCCCAAATAATCATGAACTATCTCTCAGTTTCCTAGAAATTTGATGAGTTTTATTGTCTGACAGGGGCTAGGCAATGTTACACAGGGAACCTTTTTATTCTTCACCCATTTGTTTTGCACTTATCCTGTTACATGGAAATCAGGAGCCCTGTATGAACTTACTAGTTATAGAATCCAAGTTTCCAAATATTGCTTTCATATTCAGTCCTATGTTCTGTGTTATTTTTTACACAGTATAAAAAGTTATTTTTTACTAGTATAGTTTACTAGTAATGTTGACATACCACTTTTTGGTTCAAATATGTTTTTCTTAAATCTTAACAACTGTATTTTTCCAGGTAACAGGAAGCTGTTTTTAGGCCCAAGAGGACGGTAGGGGTCCAGGGCAGTTTCTCCTATCCTGTCTCATAAATTTGTTAGGCACTGAATTCAGTGGGTGCAAATGTACGCAGCATCTTCCCTCCCAGACTACCTCAATTTAAACAATTAAAACCCAGATCTAAAATGTGCTTTGGAGACCTAGATTTTAATAAGCATAATAAGTTTGGGTAACATACTAGTGATAAAGCAACATTCAAAATGATTATGGCCTATGGATATATTAATATGAAGCCTGGACCAAATGCTATGAGTCAATAAAACAACTTACAATTGAGATTCCATCCAGACCTTTCAGTTCTGGAAGATGAAATATTACAAACAACCGGTAGTTTTCTTGATTCCATACAATAATGTTTCCATACATGTCTAGAATGACCAGGTTGCATAAACCCTGGTAATAAAAATACATACATTTAAAGTGATATACATATATATCTCACTCTAACAAGTTTTTTTCCCCTTAAGAGTTTAATCATCCTTGAATTTTAATATTAAATTACTCTATCATTTCATAGTGACTTGAGTGCTTTTAAGTATGCTGCTGTTTAGTGCAAGCATTATACTTTCATACTGTTAAGGTCTAATTTTGTGCGGTATTTCAGTGGTCTATATTATATGATCAGAATCCCTTTTTGGATGCTGGTGCTAAATGTATTACCCATGATAAAGATTTGCAAAGAAACTTAGCAAAGTTTAAAACATATACTTTGTTTATGGAATAATGATCTGTTAAATAGTATGTGTGTATACAGATACAACAGTGAAATGAAACAATGAAAAACAGTCTTCTGATGAGGGATAAAACTGAAGTGCTTCTGCCTTGTAAGAGAGTAGCAGAATTCATCTTAAGGGAAAATGTGCTTCCTTATTAGATAAGACGTTTGTTGTGAAGGAAGGGCCCTGAGTAGATATGGATGGGAGAGGTTAAGACAAGAGGGAGTAAAACTAATCCTCATCTATAATGTAAAATGGTTTGTTTTGTTGCTGTTGTTGATTAGGTTGACTCTGCAGCTCTAGAAGTAGTTGTATTGGGGGAATACAATGAGGATAAGGCTGCAAGTAAGGAAAGATGGGAAATGGACATAAGTTTTTGGTAGGAGATAAAGCCCTAGCAATATGGTATCAGCAAAAGGAAAGAGGCCACTGCAAGTCCCAATGGTAGGAAATGGACATCAAATACATTTTTCTTGATTTTTATTTTCTTCCTTACATTTTTCTATATTTTCCAAATTCTGTACAGTGAACATGCATTACTTTCATAGTATAAAGAAATAAGAAAATATTTAGAAAACCAAAAACATTAGTACTCCAGATAGTCACCTTTAAATTGTAGATCTCCTGATTGAGAGCAATATAGTTATTGCCTATGTATAATTCAATCAGTGTAAAAGCTTTTTGTAAACCACTCAATGAAGTGATTTTGTTGTTCTCAAGAGAAAGGGAATGAAGATGAAGCATGTTATCAAAAGTATGCTTTTCCAAACCAGTGAGGAGATTATTATTTATGCTGAGGCGGGTTAATTTAGTCAGCTTGGAAATGCCTAGAAAAATAAGCAAATTCAAGAAAAGATTCAGACAGCACTGAAAAGTTAATTTAAAAAATACCTGGCTGGTTGTTTTACTGTTTATCTTTTTCTAAGTTCAAATGGCTTTACAGATTTTATAGTATTAACCATCATTGTTTTTCCTTTTGTTAAAGAAGAATAAAATGTGTACTAGATAATATATTAAATTCCAATTTTGGATTTCCAAGTAGACACATTTTTTTTAGGTGTTAAGGGAAGGTATTGTATAGGAAATACTGAATTAAGCTTTCAAATAACCTTTAAATTATGTAATTGATTAAGGTTCTCACCATCACAATAATATAAAGCTCTACTTTACAAAGCTCAAAATAATCACCAACCCCCATTGTAAAACATTAAGGGTAAGGAACTAGAATACAACACTCTGGAAAGTATTCCTTACTGTGCCATCATTTGTATTAAAAAGAACCTAATTCTACCTTTGTATGCTTGAAAGCAGTCTAAGACAGAACTTTAGAAAATGCTTCCTCTCACCACAATCTAACCCCCTATGTACATTATGTGCTGTAGACACTTTATAACTGTAGGTAGGATGGTGCAGTTGACAGATAAGAACTCTGGAGTTAGAACTGGTTTTAAATGTTGGTTTCACACTAGATTTGGGACCATAGGTAAATTATGTAAAATTATGTAACCTCTGAGACAAATTTTCTTCATCCATGAAATGGATATACTGAAATCTACTTCTAACGGTTATGGAATTAAACGGAATGGCATTTGAAAAGTATCAGTTATAGCTTTTAGCAAATAAATAATCAGTCCTCAATAAATTTTATTCATGCACCCCTTTCACACCAGCCTTTATCATGGGACTATGAAATGCTGAAAGCAAATCAATCTAGGGCAAGTTAGGATGTAGTATCAAAGCAAAAATCCTTAAATGCATATTAAGCCTATCTATGTTTGGGAAAAAGAAGATAAATATCTGTTAAAGTTTAGTGGGGTAGCTATGTTTGAAAAGTGGGTATAGGGAAAATACAGGTTGAAGGAGTCTTCCCTTCAGTAGGCTTATGGAGGGGAATAAAAAGGAAATAGGGTTCTCAATTGTTACATACATAGCAAAATTAACACCCTATTGTATGGGAATGGAGACTAGTGATAGTTGTAAACACAGATGCCTGACCTACACCTCCGCCCCCCCACCCCCAACCCCCCCGCACTGTTTACTTAGCTAAAATCTACAGAGGAGAGGCCTGTGGATCTATATACTCAATAAGTATCCTAAGTGATTCTTATGATCAAGCAATTTTTAGAAACTATTGTTAACAGCCATTAAAATGAAGTATAACAAATGTTATACATGCTGTTTTTAATACTTGCTTTTGCATATGTAATTTTTTAAAGTAAAATTTTCTATTTTATGAAAAACGTAGTACACACATGCTAAAAACAATTCAAAAGCTAATAAAGTGTAAATTAAGTCTTTCTCAGGCATGATTTTCAATTCCTACCTTCTCTCCTTGACAAGGACAGCCTTGTTACCAAAATGCACATCCAGAAATGTATTATACCTAGATAAGTATGCATGATGTGTGTGTGTGTACACTTATGCAGGCATTAATAAAGCTGCTTAATTTGTACTTGTATGTGGATCCCAGTAAAAGTTTATATAGTACATCTGATTTTCAACCTCCAGTGAATAAAATGTTCATTTTGTTGAAAGTCTTCAAATTTCCAAATGTAACCTTAATTCCATATTTTGAAAAATGAACTGAGCTGCTTTATCTTTTTCAAAAGCACACCTCATTCTTTCATTTATTTACTCAATGGTACAGATTTTGAACACTGACTAGTTTGTAATGTGCTAAGTTTGGTAATAGATGGTAAACACTGGTTAAGAGAGGGGAGGGAAGGCAGCTAGTTGGGCTCATTATATATAGCAGTCAGTCACAGATCCCACTAAAGAGGTGTTTAGAATACTCTACTCCAAACCTTCTTGGAAATTCTCTGAAGACCTTCCTCTTCAGAAATTCTATCCTCAGTGTTATTCACTTTTTGCTCTTGTTAATTAGACATTCATATTTTAAGACTTTAGAATTCTCTAATACCTTACCTTCTATCTTTGAGATGCAGTTTCCATCTAATGTGAGCTCTTCCAGGTTAACACAAGATTCCAAGCCTTCCATTTTAGTGAGATTATTGTTGCTGAATGATGCCCACTTCAAATTTTCCAATTTTTCTAAATTTGTGATTTCAAAAAGATGTTGCCCATCTAAATTTAAGGCAGTTATCTGTAGAATAATTCACATTATATGTTGCTTCTGGATGACATCAATAACTTCAATGTTATAAGATAAAAAGGCTAATGAAATAATTCAAATGTGGTAAGTAACATAAAAAGTCCTCTAGGAACTAAAGATATTGCAAAGCTCTTAGTTTACAGAAAAGTAAAATTTGACAAGATTATAACTCAGAGGGACTTACATGGTATTACAGACACTGAGCTGTGCCAGTCAGATTCCCAGCAGTGAAGGACTTGTCCCAGTTGCTGCAAGTGCTGTTGGCAGAAAGCCTTCAACTGTCAGTCCCTTCAGGGACAGCATCAGCAGCAGAGAGCTGCCTTGTCCAAGGTCATGCTCCTTCCCAGGTTGGCCCACATCCAATGATGAAAGGAAAGAAAGGCCTGGCCATCTCAGCCCAACTTGGGACAGATTTAAAGGGCCATTCTAATTTCACAACTCCCTGTGGAGTCAGCTAAGACTATCACAGAGCCGGCATCACAACTAAATATCTATGTATATTCTGTAATAAAAAGAATGCCACTAATATCTTCCATTTTCAAGGGTCAGATTCTCTTAGCCCAGTTTCTATCTTTGGCAAGAGGTAAAAGGGTGCTTCTTGAGCAAGAAGCTGCTAGTGCTCCATAACTTTTCCCTTAGCCTTGGCTGAATTCTGACCAGTTCCTCCATTCTCTTGCCAGGATTCTTGATCCCTTTTACCTTGCCATCCAAATTTTTGGCTTGGTCTCTGGCTCTGAGCTTTAAAGTTTTCTTGTTTATTTTGATATATTCTCAGAATCTACCCTTTGGTTTTGCAGTGTACCTTTATCCTAAATTTCCTGTTCTGTAGTGACCACTGCTGAGTTCTAGCCCCTGTGACATAACTACTCATGACTTGACTTCTCTTTTACTTTTAATTTAGCTCTTCCAGTTTTCTGCCCATTACCTATCTATGCCCTCGTTATGATACAAAGGCCAAAGCTGACAAAAAACAATTAAATTTTTATATTAGGTTTAATAAATTGTCTTTACCTTCAAGTACCAGTTTCCACTCAGATGTGCATGTGGTCCTAATTTTGAAATCTGTGTCAGAATTTTGGCAGAAGGCCATATACTAAGAATCCGTGATCTCTCCTCTTTAGTACTAGAATGCCGTAAGAGAGATAACTAATAAAACGAAAAACACATAAAGGAAATAGCACAGAGAGGTCCATATATATATAGTTAAAAGAATTGTTTCCTAGATGAGCGGCCCAATGAATACTTTTAAAATATGACATATTCTTTACCTTAAAATGTTTTCAGTATCTGGATATACTTTATATATCTCACTCATTTTTTTGTTTTAGCAGACATTTAACCACAAAATAATATTTATAAAACTGTGAAAGGATTATTATAAAACAAACACCATATAATCCATCATGAAACCAGTTTAAGAGCCAGAATATTCCTACTACCCTAGAAGCTCCCTGGGTGCCCCATCCTAATCTTTTTTTCTCTCCTTCTCCTTGGAAGCCATCACTCATCTCAAGTGAATCAATTCCCTAAGAAGCATTCAATTGATCTCAAATTTTGTATCTATCATACTTTCTTTCTTTATAGACTTATGTTTATATCCATAAATAAAATATTAGTCTTATACATATTCAAATTTTATGTAAATTGAATGTTTATATTCTTCTATGACTTGCTTTTTTGCTCAGTATTATATCCATGAGATTCTTCTATGCTTCTTCCTGTAGATGTAGTTCATTCATATGTCATTGCTATATAATATTTCCTTATCAATTCTCCCATCAATGAACATTGAGCTGATTTCAGTTTTTTGCTATTATAAGCATTGCTGTCATAAATATTCTTGTGCATGACTCTTGGTATATATATGCAAGAGTTTCTTTAGAGTATATAACTTGCTAGGTTTAGGGTATGTATATATTTAGCTTTACTAGATAGGGCCAATTTGTTATCCAAGATGGTTGTACCAATTGTAACCTTTACTTCAAACCTTTGCTAAAACTTGATATTGTCAAGGGTTTTTTTCCCCCCAGTAGTGGCCATAAATTGGTAGATCATTTAAGTTTTAATGTTTATTTTCTTGAGTATTAATGTGGTAGAGCATCTTTTCCTAAGTTGTTTGGCTGTTCTGATTTCCTCTCCAGTGAAGTGTCTGTTTAAATGTTTTGCTCAGTTTTCTGTTTGATTGGTTGTCTTTTTCCTGATATATTTTGGATATATAAAGAATATTTTTTGTCAGATGTGTTTCAAATTTCTTTTCCCAGTATATAGCTTGTCTTTTCACTTTCTGCCCTTTGAGGAATAGATGTATTAATTTTAACATAGACAAATCTAACCTTTTATAGTATATGCTCTTTGTTTCTTGCATAATAAATTCTTCCCTCATTCAAGGTTATAATGATAATCTCTGATCTTTTCTTCTAAAACATTTTTGGTTTTGCTTTTTGTAGTGAAAGCCTTAATGCACTTGTTCCAGTGCCTTTTATTGACTAGCTCCCTGATCTGTACAGGCAGCTCTGATATTTATCAAGTTTCCAGGTATGTGTGGGTCTACACTGGGTCTTTATACTCTGTTGTATTGATCTATTTGTCTAACTCTTCCAATTCCACATTGTCTTACAGGATTTTAGTAAGTTTTGATTTCTGGTAGGATAAATCCCCAACTCTTCTTCAGGAGTTAATTATATTCTTATCAACAAAAGAGTTTCTTTCCTTCACTTTGAACAGATACAAAATTAAACATTACATTAAGGAATTAATATTCAAATATTCCACAAAAAGTAAATAGCTAGATAACTAGAGTGGAGATATTTAGGATGTTGAAGCTACTTTGGCCAAAGTAGCGTTCTTAATCTGGATAATATAGGTATTTCCCCTTCCCTAAGTTAATAGGTTTTGTTTTCTTTCAGCCAGACACAAATAATATCAATACTAGGTAAATAATTTACTAAATGCTTTCTCAAGGCCTCGAAGCTTACCTTATCCACAGAAAGTTGCTTATTTTCATGTAGGTTCTAAAGGACTCTGGTGAGTTCAGGTTGACTAGGAAAGAAACAGTTACCCTAGAGGTATTTTGGGGGTAGTGTGCAGGGATGAGAATCCATACAACCAGTTGGTATTTAAATGGAATACATTTAAACAGAAAAAAAATTCAAGTGATATGATTGTTATAGACTGATCTTTTTATTAGCATGCTAAGAGAGAATATAAAATCTCAATAACAAAATAAGAGTATGGGAAATATTATTTGTATATTCTAAATAGAACAAGAAATATTAAATAGTAAAATCCAACCTGAGTAATCTTTGTCCCAGAAATAAACTTCTTAGCTGCTGTTGCTTCTTCTTCAGAAATAAGGACTCCATCTAACTGAGTAAGAGTCTTTAATCTGCCAATAACACTCAGTCTTAATGTGGCTGGCTTGGGAAAAATACCAAAAGTTAATTTTTACAAAATATTACATGTGCTATGACATGGAAAGGAGTTCTTTGTTCCTTCCCACATAATTCAAATTATGCATCTCCTACTTTATTATATTTGTCTAAAAATAAAGGCTTAATTCTTTAAACAATAGTTGAAATTAAATTATATTTAAGAATTAATCTTTTTTGTTTGAAGGTGGATAGTTCTACTCTTGTGGAGAGAGGAAATCCCACAAGCTGTTGAAAAGTGACTGTGGTGAAAAGTGTTCACAGAACAACTGCAGTGCCTCCTGCTTATCTAGATCAGCATTTAGCTAGTCAGCTCCATGGGTGATCCAATACAGATCTTCAGCTCTTGACATTTAATTTGGCAACAGGGCTACAGCTGTACTGTGATCATTCAGGAAGTCTGATTTGGCAAAAGAAAAATATTCTTCAATTTTACTGAGCTAAAAAGGAGAAATACAATAGTATAAACATCGTAATACGGCCAATTTAAAAGAACCAATCATGCTTTAGTCCCTTTTAAAAATGTTGAACACAGTCTATATACATTTTTGAAAAGCAAGGAAAGGAATAGTCTTGAAATTATAAACTTGGGGCTTATTTTAAATACTTGGAGATACTCTTCAGTATAATCATTGAATATTGAAATTTCTTAGCATGAATCTACATATTTTTGTGATGAGAAAGAATAGCGTTCAATCAAATTTCCTTTTATAACAGAACATAAATAAGACTTTATAATTCAGGTTCATCAGGGAATGTGAAGCATAGGAACCAAGAATAATAGAATACAGTGAGAGAAACATACTATTAAAGGGGGAAAAATTAACAAAAGCATGTTTACTTTTAAATTAACAATAGTATGTTTCTCTCACTGTATTCTATTATTCTTGGTTCCTATGCCTCATTACAATAGGGTTCTAGCATGCTGAGCTATACTGCACTATGAAAATTCTCTGAAGGTGTGCAAATGGCAGTGACATCTAACACTTTTAAAACCACAATACTCTTAAACTATTAGAGGTTGCAAAAAAAGTCTGATGTGAAATTAAAGACTTTTCTTATAGTAACATTTTATTCACTTGATCACTACACTAAATTCAACTTATGAAATACTTAAGGGAATTCTAGCGAGACAAAGATAGTTTGCCTATTTCTGGCTATTCTTGAATAGTAGTGAGAAAACAGCTTTGAAATAAAAATGATTGTTTGCTTTTTTATAAACATTTCTGTTTCATACCTTTTGCCATGGATTATGTCGAATATCCAGAGTGAGAAGGCTTGTGGTGTGTTTGCATAACATATTTATTTCATCGCCAGATTTTTTCAGTTGATTCCAGCTCAAGTCTAAGTGCTTAAGTTTCATCAGACCTCTAAATCCCTCAAGAGTTATCACATGGTTATGACTTGCATCCAAATATTCAAGGTTATCCTGCAACACATACAAATAGAAGTGATGCTAGAAGGATCACGGTTTGTATTTACACAGTTCTTTTCTCTCTGATTCTCTAAGTATTTTACGTGCTTTTTTGGTAATCCTCACAGAAAACCCAAACACTAGTTATACTGCAGCAATGGTATCAATGTACATATTTTCCTAGTCATTTTCTCTTAATTCTCACTTCAGCCTTTTAACATAGAGTGGCAATGTTTGTTTTCATGGAGGAGAAGGAAAAGAGAAACTGGCAAGATAATTGTCTCCAACAAACAAAGAATTACATTTCTTATATCTAGGCTTCTAGTTTATACAATTGAACTCATGGCCTGGTTAAAAAAGTTTCGTCTTCAGAGGCAGAAACTAAATCTATTCCATTCTATAATTTCCTTTTTTAGAAGTACATGATTTTTTTTTTTTTTTTTTTTTTTTTTTTTTTGTGGTACGCCGGCCTCTCACTGCTGTGGCCTCTCCCATTGCGGAGCACAGGCTCCGGACGTGCAGGCTCAGCGGCCATGGCTCACGGGTCCAGCCACTCCGCGGCATGTGGGATCCTCCCGGACCAGGGCACGAACCCGTGTCCCCTGCATCGGCAGGCAGACTCTCAACCACTGCGCCACCAGGGAAGCCCTATATTTTTTCTTATATAAAACATATTATTCTGTTATATAGAATTTTGTACCCTTCTAACATATTCACACACCATTAAGTATTCTTCAAAATGATTTTTCATGGGGCTTCCCTGGTGACACAGTGGTTTAGAGTCCGCCTGCCAATGTGGGGGACATGGGTTCTACCCCTGATCTGGGAAGATCCCACATGCCGTGGAGCAACTAAGCCCATGTGTCACAACTACTGAGGCTTCAGTCTAGAGCCCACGAGCCACAACTACTGAGCCCACATGCCACAACTACAGAAGCCCATGCACCTAGAGCCCATGCTCCATGACAAGAGAGGCCACTGCAGTGAGAAGCCCACGCACTGCAATGAAGAGTAGGCCCTGCTCGCCGCAACTAGAGAAAGCCTGCGCACAGCAACCAAGGCCCAATGCCACCAAAACTAAATAAATAAATTTATTTTTAAAAATGATTTTTCATGATTGCATAGTATTCTAATATGTGAATTATTAGTATTGTTTTAAACATTTCATTATGGACAATTATGTGGCTTCTAATTGTTGTCAACACTGCAACAAATGTCCATGGTCATAATACTTTAACCGAGATGCCAATATACTTTCAGAAAAGGTTTTTAGGAATAAGATTACTGGTTTATGGATTTCTGTATTGTTAAGACTCTTGATAAATGTTGCCAAATAGTTTTAAGGAAGTTTGTACCAGTTTTTTCTTCCAGCAATGGAATTTGAGAATGCTTGTTTCCTTAAATACCCACCAACCCACCCACCTTATTTTAATTTATATTATTATCAGTGAAGTTGCACATCTTTTCCATGTGTTTATATTAGACATTTAAAAATTTTGTTTGTTTGTTTGTTGTGTTTCTCGTCTTTGGCCATTTATATATTCAGATCTTTATTTTACATATTTGTAAGAAGTCTTTAAGACTTTAATTTGTTACTTCTATTTGTTGCAAACAAAATTTTCTTTTAAAGTATATACGAACTCAGACCCAGAACAAGAAAGAGATAAAGAGTACTTGAAGAAAATATTTTGCAACATATTTTTTAAAATAAAAATAGTATTACTATAAATTAAAAATAAACTTGATTTCTTTACAGTTTAAAACAAACAATTGTTTGAATTCACCATAGAATTAGTCACTGCTTATATAACGCATAGTTCATATTGTTGGAATAGCGTCTATTATAGTGACTCAGGTTTCAAGAGTTGAGTGTTCAGATCATTAAAATCTAAAAAATTTCTGGAAATCAAATAGTGTTACTGACTTTTTAATCTCCATAAGTAAGCATAGTAAAAATAAATCCTATAATTTACTATGATTATAATTTCTTGAACAAAAGGATATTTGGCAGTAAAAAAGTATTAAGGATATAATCTTAGAACAGTATTTTAAATTAAATTAATTTAGATTTATAAAAATTTACTATATGGCCCATCTTCTCCTATTTTTCATCAAAAAGTGGTTAAAAACTTGTCCCAAATTCCGGCACTTGCATGCAGACTAGCATTTGTGAATCATTCATCATATAAAGATAACTGCCTTCTTTCCTTGAAAATAGGGGTGGGATCTTCACTTTTTTATATTCCCAGAATATAAAACAGACTCCATACACTCCATAAATATTCAAGGAATAATATTTTCAGTTTTGTAGCAGAGTTTTGTGTTTTAACACTTCTTGTGCTTCAGTTTAAATCTTTTGTAAGTTACAGTACAATGTAGCCCAACTTACAAAAATTAAAACCCACAAGACCTCTTTAAAATATTTTAGGGGTAATAGTTCAATCTCTAAATGTAGATTAGCTGTCTCAAGGCATTAGAAACACTTTAACAATAAATTTCTCATTGGAAAAGATAAGACAGAAGTACTATTTCCATAAAAAATTAGGCCCATAATCTATGAAAGTTGCAGATAGCCATACATATTTGTCTTTCCTTGGCCAATTCTGACTATGGTGTAACTATTTTCAGAGAAAAATAAATCTGTTCCTATTCATTTTGCTTGGATACTCTCCTTTTCTGATAGTTCAGGTGAGTGAATGACAGGCATACAGCTTATGCCCTTTCAATTTACCTTATGTGGATATCTTATTTAGATTTTTAAAAACTCTACAAAAACTATATAGTGTATTTCCACCATTTATGAAGCCCAGGTCTTTCATTATATAAACAGTCACAGATTGGGTATTTTGACTCACAAGGCAAGGCCAGGGTGATGAACACATAGTAACAATATGTTTGCTTTCTGCAACCTAGTATAACTAATGCCTAGCATGCAAGATGGGTATGGAAACTCTCCATGTTAGAGACACACTTAAGGAAAATGATAGTAAAAATGAGACGCAAATTAAAAAACTTAGAAGACAATAGGAATAATAGGTGAGTGATTAAATTAGATCATAGCCTTTTATGATGCTGAGATAAATATAATTAATATTAAACACACATACAAAGTAGATTACTGTAGAATATAGAGCCTATGCAGCATAGGTGTTCAATCTCTCTGAATCCCCACATAAAAAGAGAGTTAAAAATAAAACCAAAATTCTATGGACAACATTTATAACAAAGCTACATAACAAGGTAGCCCCATAAGTCTCAAAGAAGTTGGTGGGGATAAACCACCAACAACCACAAGACCTACATGGTGTCCAGGTCTATGTGAGAGGAAGAAGGAAGCATCAGGGCAGCCTCTGAGGGACCTGAGAATAAGAAAGCCCCAAAATAGCCAACCAATATTCAGTGGAAGGTATGAGGGCCAACTGAATACAGCAGTTGAAAGTGGGAGGAGTTTTGCCCTCTTTGATACCAGGTGAGTGCATGGGACCTACAGTAAAAAGGTCTGAAGGGGATGGAGCAGTCTAGCCCCTACGAATCTTCAAACTGCCCCACCCGGGCCCCCTTACAGAACTGAATCTTTCTTGGAGAAGAAACTGCTGGGCTAAATAAAAATTAAACAGGATAAGGACAAAAAAGGCAAATAAAAGAGAAAGTTCAAACTGAAGTGGAAGAAGGGAATAGAGCCAGGAAATTTCAGAAAGTAAGTGCTACAGTTTTTAAACAGTACATATAAACAGCAGAAGAGGCAGATCTGTGAAATTAGAAAAGCTTTCCCAAACCCCACTTTTGTTTTAAAAGTTAAGAACTAATTTCACTGGAAAATGAGCAGCAAAAAAGTATTAAGGTCAAATCCCAGATAAAGCTGTGTGCGTGCGTGTGTGTGTGTGTGTGTGTGTGTGTGTGTGTGTGTGTGTGTGTGTAAGACAGAGAGAGAGAAATATTGCTATATTGCTGCAGGCAATAAAAGTATACCAGAAATATATGCCCAAGAAACATATCATAACCATAAACCTATTATTTCAGAAAAAGCAAAAAGATTTAAGAATGATACAAGATACAAAATAACAACATAAATCTGGATTAGAAAAACTCAGAAATGAGATGAAAGAACCCAGAAAAGAATTCGAAATAAAATAATAAAAGCATTTCAGAAATGAAGATTAAACTAGTCAAAGACAAAAGACGTAAACACAACAAATAATGCCTTAAGATAAATAGAAGGTGAAAAAGATGAAAATTTTAAAAATCAAATCAATTTAAAATCTAAATGGAGAGATAAAAAGGACTCAAGAGAAAGTGACAAATAGTGAAGATAGGTAAAGATTCAACATATGGATAATGGGAGTTCCTAAAGAAGAGAACCAAAGAAAGGAAACAGAAAAATTGCTAAAAACCTCCAGTTCAAAAAAATAAAAGAAAAAATGATTTTAATCTACATTTTGGAAAAGCATAGTGTGAATCCGAAATATTGACCCGGAACAACGAAGCCTGTGACTTACAAGGGAAAAAATTATACATTCTCATCAGACTTTTCTACCGCAACACTTTATGCCAGAAGAAAATGAAATAACATTTAAGATGCCCAAGAAAAGAAATTGTGAGCCAAGGATTTTATATCTAACAAAACTGCCTTTCAAGTATAAAGGACATAGATAAATTATTATCAACATTCAGTAACCGAAGGGATACTGTTTCCATAAGCCCTTCCTGAGGAATCTATAATAGAATATTTTTCAGACAATCAAAATGTTTGATACCACCCTAAGAACTGGTGATAAGAATTAAATACACAATTACCAATGAACTAAAAGGGAGAGTGTACAGAATGTAAGGGCTACATGCTCTAACAAAGTAGATATAGTATGATAATTTTAATTATTTTTTAAAATAGAGAAGAATGAAAAGTACACAAAATTTTTAAAAAATCTTTCCAGTAACATGTTGATGAGAGTATTAGCGCTATCATTCTGAGACTTTTGTGTGTGTAATAGGGGATAAAACAAATGAGTGATTATTAAATATCCTAATTCTATCACCTTGTATCCCTGAGAATCAGGATTATTGGTGTGGGAAAAAAAGATATAAATGTAAGTAACAGAGAAAGGTTAAGTTAAATGATTTGCAGTCTTAAATTCGAATTGGAAGCATCAATATAAATTCATGAGGTTAGTTTTACTTGCACATATACCACACACACACACACACACACACACACACCCCTCCCCCACAACAAATTCTGTCCAATGGAAAGACCTAGAAACAATGACAAACCCAGATTGTGGCCCTTAAATACCACTTCTCTAAAAGAAACCAGGGCTCCTTGAAGAAATAGTTGATCCCATGTCTGCAACAGAAAAATACATAAAATGTGTATGGAACATCTTTCATACCAGGTGGCAAAGAAGCTATCACAGACTACTAGGGTCATGGCAAAAGGAGCTAACCTTATGATGCTTCCACTGGCTAAGGATGAGAAAATTTGAGCTTCAATCATGATAGTAATTGCAGTAAATTGAATATCATCAAATATGTTTAAGTCCTTGCATTCCTAATGATATTAAAACTAAAAAAGTATTGCTTATCTTTGGGAATTCGTAAGGAACTAATTCATTATCTTCAAAGTTGGTAAATAAAAGCAAATAAACATCTATTCTGCATTTTCTATATGAATAGTCCTACTGGGTATCCAAATAATAGATAAGGGGAAACGTCTCTATGTAAAAGTGTTCCAATTAATAAATGAAAAAGAAATTCTAGAATAAGAATGTTGCTATTTTGTAATCTCCAATGAATTAAAAGATACAGGCATTAATAATGGCTCCTAGAATCAGAAAAGTGAGACAACTAGACATTATGTGTCCCTGTAGTCTCGCCAGAGGAATGGAACCAGAGTCTGATCCAATCTCTGGATCCAGTTGCCAATTTGTAGAAAATCTGGAGGGTGGAGGGCATGTAGGGTGTATCATAGGTAAGCAAATTGGCAGGGTCTGGACTGTGGTAAACTCTGGTTTTGAAGGTCCAAGTATTTCTACAGATAAACAGTGGGGAGCAGAAGGGGATAGAAGGGAAACTTAAAAGAGACTTTAAAAATACAGTACATTAAAAAAAAAAAGGGAAAACCAAATTTCTGTGCTAGGGATACACATTTGGGGTGATGGAACTATAGGGGGAAAAGAGCAGGGAGAGGATAACTATTAGCAGTCAGGATAATGATTTCTTGAAGGAATGGGGCATATAGAAGGGGTTTATGCTGTAGGTGGCAAAGTTTTATTTCTTGACTTGGACGCTAGTTAACAAGCATGTTCACCTTATAATAATTTACTAAACCACTTGTTTGTAATATGTAGTTTTCAGTATCCGTGTTTTATTTTACATACAGTATCTCCTCTCTCTGAACATCCGAAGATCCTTACAGTCATTTTTAGAGACATGTTTATACACTGGATTCTTAATGTCTGAGGGGTCTATATCTAGCTAGCTACCTTTACTAGTTCTAAAATTTGAAAATACCACTTGGGCATAAAATTTGTCCAGTTCCCTTACCTGTAAAATAACTGTGGTAATAGTCATCCAATAAGCAGGCTGTGAGGCTATGATGATGAAAGAAATCTTTGTATTAAAGAACAACAAAGCTACATTGCAAATACATGCTGGGCAGCTGGCTAAGCTCACTCACCTTGCATGACTTAAGAGTTTAGTCTTTAAATCTGTGCCTAAGCAAAATTATAATGCTTGTTATAACCTTTGGAACTGCAAGCAAATCATTAGAAGAAAATTAAACAAAAATGCCCAAAATTTATATATATTCCTGGGACCTCTATTAAACTACCTTCTTTCCTCAGTTGCATACCAAACCCAAGGGAATTCTATTAAAAAGGACTTTGGCCTTGCAGTTAAGTCCTTAATCCATTTTGCATGTGGCCGTCCAGTTTCACAACACCATTAAAATTCCTAGAAGAAATATAGGCAGTATGCTCTTTTATGTCGGTCTTAGCAATGTCTTTCTAGATATGTCTCCTAAACAAAAGCAAAAATAAACAAATGGGACTACACCAAACTATAAAGCTTCTGTACAGCAAAGGAAACCATCAACAAAATGAAAGGACAACCTACTGAATTGGAGAAGATATTTGCAAATCATATATCTGATAAGGGGCTGATATCCAAAATATATTAAAAAACTCGTTCACCTCAACAACAAAAAAACCCCAAACAACCCAATTTTAAAAATGGGCACAGGAGCTTTTTCCAAAGAAGACATACAGATGGCCAACAGGTGCATGAAAAGATGTTCATCACTAATTATTAGGGGAACACAAATCAAAACCACGAGATATCACCTCATGCCTATTAGAATGGCTATTATCAAAAAGGCAAGAATTAAAAAGAGGATGTGGAGAAAAGTAAACCCTCATACACTGTTGGTGAGAATGTAAATTGGTGCAGCCACTATGAAAAACAGTATGGAGATTCCTCAAAAATTAAGAATAGAACCACCATATGATACAGCTTTTCTACTTCTATTTATCTGAAGAGTACAAAAAACACTAATTCAAAATATGCACCCCTATGTTCATAGCATCATTATTTACAATTGCCAAGATATGGAAGCAACCCAATTGTCCATCAACAGATGAATGGATAAAGAAGATGTGGTACATATATACAATGGAATATTACTCAGACATAAAAACGATGAAATCTTGCCATTTTCAACAACATGGATGGACTTGGAGGGTATTATGCTAAGTGAAATAAGTCAGACAAAGACAAATACTGTATGATATCACTTGTATGTGGAGTAAAAAAACCAAAATAAATGAACAAACCAAACTAAATAAAAACAAACATATAGATAAAAGGAACACAGTAGTGATTACCAGAGGGGAAGTAGGGTGGAGGGAGGGCAAAATGGGTAAAGGTGGTCAACTGTATGGTGATACATAGAAACTAAACTTTTGGTGGTGAGAGCACTGTAGTATATACAGAAGTTGAAATATAATATTGTACACACTTTTATAAACTTATATAATGTCATAAACCAATGTTACCTCAATTTAAAAAAAAGGACTTTGGCTTAGTAAAAGAAAAAAGGAAGAGGGTTTAATACTAAAATCTAAGGCCAATAAGCAAAGCAGCAACTCTCACCACAGTCGCAGAAGTAGCAGTACAAGGGCCTTGACATGGTTGCAAGGAGATAGAGAATGAGCAAGACCTGAGAATGATGATATATTCTGAAAATGTATGTCAGTGACTTGGGACCTATGGAAACAGGGGATGCTGGGTTGGAGTTCTGGAACCCATATGTAATTATTTTTGTTATATGACATATAACAGGGAAAACAAAAGCCAGATAAGATCCATACGTGTGTGTACATGTGTATTACTGTATTTGTCCGTGATTTATAAGAAGGCAAACACAAATCAAACAAGATCTATGTGTGTGATGAGGGTAGAAAGGACAAGGCAGAGAGAAAGAGAACTAACCATATGGATAATGAACAGATGGGAAGACCTGACAACATTAGCTGTGAAGTGGTAAACTAGAAAGTGAAGAAGAAATAAAGACTCACAATAAGGAGAAAAAAAAAGAGTGAGACCGCATAGCACAGGGAGATCAGCTCGGTGCTTTGTGACCGCCTGGAGGGGTGGGATAGGGAGGGTGGGAGGGAGGGAGACGCAAGCGGGAAGAGATATGGGAATATATGTATATATATAACTGATTCATTTTGTTGTGAAGCTGAAACTAACATACCATTGTAAAGCAATTATACTCCAATAAAGATGTTAAAAAAAAAAAAAAAGAGTGAGAAAAAAAGAGCAGAAGAAATTGGAAATGACACTTTATAAATGCCATTTTAAAAACAGGTCTGGAGTAATTTTACATTTATTTTCAAGTAGTTAGAAATCAGATATGGCCACAGGTGTATATTTGGTTTGTAAACAGAATCTAAATCTAAGGCCTATTTTAGAGAAAGTAACATACTATATATATAGTTTATGTATGTTTTGTTCCTGAATTGGGCTGTTAATATGGTATATATGAGGTCTAAATTACAAAAATAATTTATTCATTAAATTAATAATTTTATTTTACTTAAATAATTTCAAAAAGACAGTTCTTACCAGGTGGTATATATCATCTAAACAAGTAAATTCATTAAAGCTGATATTAAGTTTTCGAAGTCCTGTTAACTTGGAGAGATCTCTCAATTTACTCAAGCTGTTTCCATGTAGATTCAGACTCTGAAGTAAAATAAAATGTAAATAAAAAACGAGACAGATTATATCCTAATTATAGCTATTTAAATAACATTAAGAGAGAGCCAATGAGAAAAAAATATAATTTTGAAAGTATAGTCTGATTTTATAATATGATTTTAAAAGGTATAGTTTCTAATAGCAGCATTGCATCTGGTTCTTGATTAATTTGATCTTCCACTTGCTCTAAGTTTATCAATAATCGGCATGAAATTCTTTTTAGAAAATGGCTAAATATTTTGTTGTGATATTCATTAGGGCAGACTTATTTCTCAGGCTAGTGAACAGTGTAGGCCCTAAAGATTTTGGGTATTGGCTAGGTCGCCTCGCAAGAAAAAGGATGGCAAGGATACATCCTGATTACAGGAAACCATATGAGGGCACTGGACTAAGGAAGAAAGGCTGAGGGTGTTAAAGTGGGAGACACAACATCAAAGAAGGAATTGGGAGAGTGTCTAAGACAGTTTCTACATCAGAATTTGGCCCAGATTTTCCCTGCCCATTTGATCCTGGGCTGTATAAAAATGAATGTTATGGGCTTCCCTGGTGGCGCAGTGGTTGAGAGTCCGCCTGCCGATGCAGCGGACACGGGTTTGTGCCCCGGTCTGGGAAGATCCCACATGCCGTGGAGCAGCTGGGCCTGTGAGCCATGGCCGCTGAGCCGGCGCGTCCGGAGCCTGTGCTCCGCAACGGGAGAAGCCACAACAGTGAGAGGCCCGCGTACCACAAAAAAAAAAAAAAAAAAAAAGAATGTTACTATATTTTTATATTTAGGGGAAACCCTGATGTCTACATAATTTTTCTCTTTAAACTATAACATTGTTAATGGTATCAAATGAAGATTTATGCATAGTCTACAAAATAAATAGTGGCACAAGAAAATGTCAATATAATTGACCACCTTATTCACAACAAATGGGTATCATGATAAAATCAGGTATCTACCTCCCAACCCTCTTCACTTACCACCACCATCTTATACCCTATTATACTGTGGACATAACTAAATTCCTGGCAGGGAGAAACAATTGAATGTCAAATAGTTATCAAAACTTTGCTAAAATTAAGAAGGGCCAATTTATGCAGACTAGTTTACAGGTCACACATGACAGATTCTACAGATAACTTACACTTAACATGTTCACAATTGAATTCATCATCTTCTCTTATCTGCTTGGCAGTACATATTTTCAATCCTGATTAAGAGTTTCACCATCTAACAGATATTGTTGATCATCCATTTCCCCTCTTTTCTATATACATTTGATTCTAGAAATGTTTCTTAAATCAACCGCTCCATACCATCACTACTACAGTGCCTTAGTTCAGACTATTCTTTGTCCTTTGGACTACTACAATAGTTTCTACTGGATTTCTATACCACCAGTCTGACCACAGTTAAATCTAAACACAAGCTATCAAAGGTAGGGTCTTTAAAAACAGAGAGCCTATTCCCTAAACAAAAGAATGTAAACTTATAAATTTGCCTTCTGAAATCCATCCCGATGTGGCTATAACCTCTTACTCTTCCATCCACAGCCTCATGTATCTTCTTTGTATTCCAACCTACACCTATACTTCCACTGTCACACACCCTATGTTCTAGTCACACTGAATTCCTCAGTGTTCCCTGAAGACACCAGGATCTTTCAAAACCATGTGCTTACAGATAAAGTATTTCCTCTGCTTGGAAGACAAAAACAATGAAATCTCTCATATCCTTCAAAAATCCACAAAAAACCCACCTCTTTCTGTGGACCTCTCCCAGCAACTCCAAACTTCCTGTATTTGTTTCCATATCTGTCTCCTCCACTGAAATAATATCCTTGGGGCAGGGAAAATAACTTATTCATTGAACCCCCAATACTTATTTCATTGCCTAAAATACAGCAAATCTCAGTAAATGCTAAATGAGTAAACCAGTACAAAAGCCAGACATAACTGACAACTCTAAGTTTCAGTATTTAATTGTGCTGTAAGAGAATTATAAATATAATATAATTATAAATAATTATAAATAAATAAAATTATGTTACTCTGGGTTTTTTATTTCTACATATTTTATTTATTTTTATAGATGTCCTCATGAAACTCGACCTGGTGGGGATAACTGAAAAGAAAATAAGAGGTATGTACCCTCCCCTCAGTTTCTCTTACAGTAACGGCACAAAGAAGGGAGAACAAAGGGTGTGATATCTAAATATCCTTCTTCTAATATCTAGTATTCTTACTGGAAACCCTAGAAAATTTGCTGGCTTTTAAGCAATATAGGCAAATTTAATATGAAAAAGCCCCTCCATTCTTATGTTATGCGTGTTGACCAAATTAATACAGTCAGGTGGAGGTCACAAGCTGCCCAAGGTGTTCTGAAGTCTTAACTCTCCTCTGTTTCTTATCACAAACCAAAGATAATAAAAAAGACCTACCTTCTGGTGCTGTTTTTTTTAAAACTTTTATTTAATCCCTTTAAATCTATAGGAATACATGTTCTATAAGCTCAGTCCAATCAGAGCACATTCATTTATTAAACCTTTCATTACTGAAGCTTTATTATCAAGAATTCATTACTCAAATATGAAATCTTGACAATATAGTTCAGAAACAATTTTTCCATGCTGTCAGCTGGAAGACTGCTCCTGTAATAAGTATACTGCACACTTATGATAAAGGTGGTGATATTGCCATCATGTTATGAAGTTTTCCTTCCTCTCTAATAATAATCCTCTAAGGTAACGACAGTCTCCTAGACTTGAAGATTTGGTGGATGATGCTAACACAGTTTAACCAACGCAATCCCATAAACTTTCTTAAAAAAGTGTTTCAAATATTTTTAGAAGCAGACTGAAAACTGTTGACCTCACTTATTATTTTAAAAAATATTTTTTACTTTCTGTTTCACACAATCACTTGAGAAAAAACTGTCATCATAAACAATGGATTTAGAAATGTAACGATGGAGCAAAGTAATTGACTTTCAAGATAAAAATCATTTCAGAATTTTTATCTGTACCTTAGCTTTCAGTGCATGCATAGAAAGATAGCGTCATGTAAGAATAATTTGTCTTCTTAAGTATTCTTATCAATTTATCAGTTAATATCAATTTGTTTACTACTTCTGCAGGTTCAAGTAAACAACCCACTTTCTTTGTTAAGAACCACTCAAGACATTCTGTTTTAAAACAAGTAACTAATGAGTATCTCATGTGTGCTAGGTATTGTGCTAGATAATGGCAGAGTTGATGCTAGTCCACTCAGTGTTTATGAGTAAATTAGAAAAAGGCATCCTTACCTCAAGATGCCTTTATTTTCCAGCTTTTAGAAAATTGTTACAATAGGCTGATTTTGTTAGTAAAAGAAATTTTACCAACAGTCATCAAAAAATTGTTGTAGTAAATATACTACTCTTATTTGAAAGTTGCCCCTTAGGTGTGGCCCTTTTGTTCAATGTACACTGTACAATCTTATATTTTTGCCCTCATGCTGGGAATATAAATGACTAAGAACAGCCTAATCTCTGCCCTTGTGGAATTTATAGTTTAGGAAGGCATATGACAAAGGAATCTTACTTAGATTCTTAACTAGACCTAGAGGTAAGAGGATTTAATGCTAAAGTATAGATCAAAAATATGTGTGGGAGTTAACTAGGACAAACGGGGTCAGCGGAGAACATTCCATGCAGGAGTACAGTGCAGGAGTACAGTACAAGTGCAGAGGCTCTGTGTGGCTGCAAACAGGGTACATTAAAAAACAAGAAGGAGGCTGAGCACAGGTTGCTAAAGGGAGGGTAGTATGAGAAGAGTGTGGATAGACAGGCCAGGAACCAGGTCATGCAAAACCTTATAGGCCATATTAAGGACTCTGGTTTTATTTTTAAAACAATGGAAGATCATTTGAGCATTTCAAATAGGAGTAGTGAGGGGTGACAAATCAGACTTGCTATTTGAAAAGACTCCTCTCTCTTCAACATGGAGAATGGGTTGTGGCCTTAAAGCGGAAGCAGGACAAGGCCTCTTTTGCATAGCTCTAGTAGGCATGTACCTCCCCAGCCCCCAACACACAGACACACACACCTTGTATTGAGTTATAGTCAAGTTATATACTGAATGGCATCCAAAGAGCACATTAACAGAATACAATGTGCATGGTGCCTCCTGGAGTTGTGTAGTAGCCCTATGGAAGTAGTCTAGGTCGGAGATAAAGGGAGTTTGGACAGAATGGTAGCAGATTTGAAATGGACAGATTGAGAGTCAAGATATAGAGGGAGGCTTAATATCTCAATAGAATTTCCTCAGTGTAAAGTAAGTTGCTTCAATAAGTTACTCAAATTCTGTTGATTAATTTTGTAAAGATAAAACTCCTGTATTCTATGTTGATTGGTCCTGGAAACTGTTTTGAAACTTACTATCTTAATCAGTTAAAGAGAGTTTATTTGTTATTCAGGAATGAAATTCCTTGCAAATTACAAGGCTGCCTCTAGACCTCCACTGTCCTCTATGATAGCCCCTAGCCACGTGGGGCTATTGAGCACTTGAACTGTGAACTGAGATGTACTGTGAGTGTAAAATATGCTCCAGGTTTCAGAGACTTAGCATGAAACTATCTGTTAATGAATCTTCATATTGCCTGTATGTTGAAATGATAATATTCGGGATATATTGAGTTAACTATAATATATTATTAAAATTAATCTTACCTTTTAATTTTAAAAATCTTTAAAAATGTGGCTAATAGAAAATTCAAAATTACATATGTGGTTCATATTATATTACTACTGGACAACACTGATCAGTAGAAGAAAAGGGCTGGGCACTTTTAAGCATGCCTGGCATGGACAGCATGCTGCCTGGCATCATCAGATAGGTGGTTTAATATCTTTAGATTTCATGCGATAGATTCTGACCAAATTCAAGGTTCATGTCCCCAAATTTTAATACTCACCACAATATGACTGTAAATGCTAGTCTTGGCAAGGGAAAGTATTGTTTTATCATCCAAGCGAGTAAGTTTTGGTCTGGGCTTGATCCTGGGATCCATTTTTATAACTTCATCATCAAATTTCAAATCCTGGGACAATACTGATCCTTCTGAATTTTTTTTGCTCTCTTCTAGGATAACATTGTTGAATGCAGAAAATAAAGAGTGAGCCTTGACCTAAAAAATTTATTAAAAATGTTGAAAATTTGGTTGCTGTATTTATCATTTTGAAAAAGAAATAGGCTATGTAGGAAAGATGAATTAACTTTTGTTCCTGTTATATAGTAATATCTATGATGAGTATCACATTAGGAAATCTATGAGAGTAGATTAAAACTGTGGGCTAAGAATGGGTGTGTCCTCCTGCTGAAAATTCCCTAAAACTAGCAAAAGACAAGTTAAAAATATTTTATAACAGTGGAGAGGGTACCAACGAAAGACTAAAAATTGTGAGATATAAATCAGAAGGGACTGAACTGACAGACAAATAGGAGCAGAAATGTAACCTGCAGCCAAAATATGCGCAGGAGATAACCACTTCAAAGAGCAGATCCCAAGAAACTTGACGTTCAGAGTGAACAAGTAAAATAGCAGGAGGATGCTCTAGGTAATTATCAGGCAACTAAGTAATTATCATAAGAACTGTGGATGAATGGGCAAAAACAACATGAACAAACAGAAATGGGTCTAGGAAAAACCAAAATGGTCCGTAAGAGAATTTTTTTTTTACTTTTTCATTTTATATTTATTTATTTATTTTGGCTGCACCGGGTCCTAGTTGCAGCATGCGGGATCTTCATTGCGGCATGCGGGATTTTTAGTTGCGGCACACAAACTCTCAGTTGCAGCAGGCATGGGGGATCTAGTTCCCCAACCAGGGATCGAACCTGGACCTCCTGTGTTGGGAGCATGGAGTCTTACTCACTGGACCACCAGGGAAGTCCCCATAAGAGAATTTTTTAAAATCTGGGAGAACAAAGCATCTATAAAAGAATAGGCTGCTACAGAAAAGAATAGGGTAAATGCTTTGAAGTCAAAGTAAAAACAATTAGTGAAATAGAAAATATTCAATAAACGTTCTGAGAAAGCAAATGGATATGACAGCAAATCAAATTAGCAAGTGGAAGCTAATATTGAGGACATCTTCCAGAGCACAGAATTTAAAAACAGAAATGTAAATACAAGAGAAAAAAAATTAAAATACATGCAGGATCAGTTCAGAATGTCCAATGTTTAACAAACAGAGGTTCCAGAGGGCTTAACAGAGAATGGAAGAGAAGAAATGATCAAGGAATTAAGAGAAAGAAACTTCCCAGAGGTGATGAAAGAACTGAATATTCCGATTAAAAGAGTTCATGAAGTGGCAAAGCAGAAGGATGATGGAGGTCTTTGCCGACATCACTGAAGTCAGTCACAACAGCCAGGGACTTGGCCTCACTACTTCTTGTTATTTCAGTTATTCTGTTTTCTGTTTGTTTGGATTTCTGTGTCTTTTGCTGAAAGCATATTTGACTGATACAATCCGCTTCATAACAATATAAAATATAAATGCCCAGAACTATACTTAACAAGAAATGTTTAAGACGTATATAAAGGAAAATGTTGGAGAGGACTTGAGTAAATGGAATAACTTATCATGTTCCTGGATGAGGGGCCCAACACTACAAAGTAGCCAGTTTGCCCCAAATTAAATTTAAATTCAATACAATCACAATCAAATCCTAATAGGACTTTTAAATAGAACTTAACAAACTGTTTCTCAATTTTATTTGGAAAGGAAAATGTTCAAGAATAGCCAAGAATTAAAAAAATATACATAAGTGGGGACAGGGGAAGAGAATTTGCCCTATCACATATCAAAACATATCATCAGGTTGTAATAACCAAAATAATGTGGTAGGTGTCCAAGATTAGACAGAGAGATCAATGGAACAGAAATAGAAGGATCTATAAATAGACCACTTATATATGAAAATAATTTTAATGATAGCTAATATTTCAAAATAGATTTAAAAAGATGATGCTTGGTCCATTTTTAAGGATAAAATTATTTGACCTCCCCAACCTCACACAGAATAAAACAATTTCTAGATAGAATTAAAAAGCTAAAAGTTTTAGGTACTTCCCTGGTGGTCCAGTGGTAAAGAATCTGCCTTCCAGTGCAGGGGAAGTGGGTTTGATCCCTGGTCGGGGAACTAAGATCCCACATGCCGTGGGGCCAGCTAAGCCCGTGCACCACAACTACTGAGCCTGGGCACCTCAACTAGAGAGCCACCTGCCACAACTACAGAGCCCATGCTCCCTGGAGCCCGCGCACCACAACTAGAGAAGAGAAAACCCGCACGCCACAACTAGAGAAGAGAAAACCTGCACACCACAACTAGAGAAGAGAAAACCCACACGCCACAACTAGTGAGAAGCCCGCACACCGCAACAAAAGAAGAGCCTGTGTGCCGCAACAAAAGATCCCACGTGCCTCAACGAAGATTCCGTGTACTGCAACTAAGACCCAACACAGCCAAAAAAAAAAAGGCTAAAATTTTTAGAACAACCTATATTAGTATTGGAAGAAAATAAAGGAGAATATTTATATAAGCCTTATGAAGTGAGACATAAAATTCAGAATCCATAATGTAAAAGATGGAGAGATCTGATCTCTTAAAAATTAACTTGTAAATTACAAATGAAAATGACAAATACTTTTTTTGCTACAAATAAAATGAAAATACAAGTGACAGAAAACACTTGCATATATATAAAAGATAAAGGATTAACATCTAGAATGCATATAAAGATTTTTCCAATCAATATGAAAAAGATAGAGTCCAATAGAAAATGATCAAAGGATATAACAGGTGATTCATAAAACTGTAAATAATCTATAAGCACATGAAAGGATAAAATATCTTTTCTTTGGCCATAAGATATAAACAAAAAGATTGATAACACCTGTGTTGGTAAAGATGTAAAGAAACAAGCACTGTCACACACTGTTGGAAATTTATAAAATGGTTCAACTTCTGTAAAGAGTACTGGCAAAATCTATCAAAATTAAAACACATATATCCATATATCCTTTGACTAGCCAATTCTTCTACAAATATGTGCTGCAGAAAAACTTCCATATTTGTATGGAAGATGCATCTGCAATGATACTCACTGAAATATTGTTTTAAGTAGTAATAAAATTGGAGACAACCTATGTTTCATCAACAGGGGAACAGTCAAATAAATCAGAGTATTACTGAATAGTATGAAGTCACCAAAAGACTGAAGTATAGACCTATGTGTACTGAAGTGAAATTTGTCCAAAACATATTGTTAAAGGCAAAAAATTTACAGAATACTTAGAACTTGACTCTACTACGTAAAATGGTATATGTTGTCATATGTGTAAATGCACAGAAAAAAAGGTTGAAAGCAAACCCACAAAGCTATTAACAGTGGATGCCTTCAGGAAAGGGAGTGGTGGTGGGATTGAGGTGAAAGCAGATTTTCATGTTTATTCTATATTCTTCAATACAGTTTGAATCTTTTCCAGTGAGACTACAGTTATATATTACTCATGTAATATATTTGCATGATAAAATATTTAGGTGTCATAATGACTTGTTTTGAAAATTAAGTCCTTTAAAGAATAATCATATTATATTTATACATAGGCATACCTTGTTTTATTGTGTTTTGGTTTATTGCCATTTTTTACAAATTGAAGACATCAAGCAAGTCTATCGGTGCTATTTTTCCAACAGCCTTTGCTCACTTCATGTCTCTGTGTTACATTTGGTAATTCTCATAATATTTCAAACTTTTTCATTATTATTATATATGTTATGGTGATCTGTGATCTGTGATGTTACTCTTGTAAGTGTTTTGGAGTGCCACAAACCATGCTCATATAAGATGGTGAACTTAATAAATGTTGTGTGTGTTCTGACTACTCCACTGACCAGCCATTTCCCTGTCTCTCTCCCTCTCTTTGGGTTTCTCTATTACCTGAGACAAGACAGTCTTAAAATAAGGCCAGTTAGGGGCTTTCTACGTGGCGCAGTGGTTTGAGAGTCCGCCTGCCGATGCAGACGACACGGGTTCGTGCTCCGTTCCGCGAAGATCCCACATGCCGTGGAGCGGATGGGCCCATGAGCCATGGCCGCTGAGCCTGTGCGTCCGGAGCCTGAGCTCCGCAACGGGAGAGGCCACAGCAGTGCGGAGGCCTGCGTACCGCAAAAATAAATAAATGAATAAATAAGGCCAGTTAGTAAGCTTACAATGGCCTCTAAGTGTTCGCGTGAAAGGACGAGTCACATACCTCTCATTTTAAATCAAAAGCTAGAAATGACTAAGTCTAGTGAGGAGGCATGCTGAACGCTGAGATAGGCTGAGAGCTAGGCCGCCTGCTCCAAATAGTTAGCCAAGCTGTGGATGCAAAGGAAAAGTTCTTGAAGAAAATTAAAAGTACTATTCCAGTGAACACATGAATGATAAGAAAGTGAAACAGGCTTATTACTGATATGGCAAAATATTTAGTGCTCTGGACAGAAGATCAAACCAGCCACAACATTCCCTTAAGCCAAAGCCTAATCCAGAGCAAGGCCCTAACTCTCTTCAATTCTATGAAGGCTGAGAGAGGTGAGGAAACTGCAGAAGAAAAGTTTGAAACTAGCAGAGGTTGGTTCAATGAGGTTCAAGGAAAGAAGCCGTCTCCATAACATAGAATGCTGGGGACGTGGGTTCGATCCCTGGTCGGGGAACGGAGATCCCACATGCCTGGGGCAACTAAGCCCACGTACCACAGCTACAGAGCCCTCGTGCCCGGAGCCCATGTGCCACACAGAGAGAAGCCTGTGTGCCACAACGAAAGATCCTGCATGCCTCAACGATGATTCCGCGTGCTGCAACTAAGACCCGCCTCAGCCAAAAAAATAAAGAAAATTTTTAAAAAATGAATTCATACCACTGTAATATACTCAAATTCTACGATGTATTCAGGCAAAACAAGGTCATGATCAAAGACAAACCACTTGTACTGCCGAATGCTGCAATCACAGTTTCTTTGTCCCATGATAGAATCTAGGGTAAAATAAAAAACAAAAACAAGCAAAACAAACACTCTTCAAAATGATATTTAATATTTTTCACCCTTACATAGATTAATAAACAACAAACTCAGTAAGTTCCAAATATTATGTCATTGAGGTTTTTTTCTCTTATATCGTCCCACCACTGTAGACAATTTCTTAATTCTATAAATACTAGTCACCCTTTCACTACACAGACTAGTAGGGTTTAGTTATATTCATCTCCTTTCCCTTTTCATACTTTTTCACTTTTCTATTCAATGTTTAGCCATATAGTTTTTGACAAATATATTACTTTTTTGTTGTTAAAAGTTGAGTAGGTTCTATTTTTTGAAATACATATAATATATTATACATATATATATATATCTGTGTATATAAAACATAAAACAAACTTTTATAAAATAAAATATCTACATGCACACATATATAAATGTCACTGAAATAGGAAATAGAAATATAGAAGTTCATTAGTAGCTAGGAACAGGTTTTTATAAAAAAGTTAATAAGTTTTGTTAGGTAGAGGTTAAACTGTAAGCATCTGTATTAAATGAAAACATTTTGTATTCAGAAAGATGAAAAAAGATTTATCTTCATCGCAGACATACTTAGTAAATATTTTCGAGGAATGAATACTGAATTAATCATTGGGTAGTTGGCTTGACTGATGGAGTCCTGATCATGAGCCTGAACACTCTGGCCAAGGAAAACCTTTGTAATCAGGAGGATGCCTAGTGTGAAAAAACAAAATGTTTTAACACTAATTCATTTGAATAATTTTCCCATATCATCTTCCTTATTGGCCCCAGACTTGACTGTATATTTTGTAAAGGTAGAGATCCTGGCTACCTTGTCTGCCACCGTAAAGCACACAGCACACTGCTTGATCCAAAATAGAAGCTCAATAAATATTTGTTGCATAAATAAAATGTTTATAAAAGAGAATTCCTGTGATTATATCAAGCAAAGCTTTACAGAGAAGGAAGAAGGAAAGAAGACAGTATTTATCAATATTTTTATGAATTAATTTAAGAAACTTGTTGTTCTTGTTAACTGGGTAAAAATTCATCTCTGTATCATCAGCACATAGCTTAGATCATAAGAGGCACTCATACAGGCACTCATGTCTACTGAATGGATGCACATTTCTCTTCCCTTTAGATATTAAGGAACCTTGAAATTCACTAAATCCTAAGGATCTCTAGGAGTCACTGAATCCTATGAAACAACTTCTAATTACTATGCATAAAGTATTCAGATGACTTTTTAAAACTATGTACAAGTTATGAAATGTAAATTGGGAGAACCTAATTGTTTTAGAAAGAATATTCCAGAAGGATCAAGAAAAACATCATGGATATTTCTTTTTATTTTAAAGATTTTTTTTGATGTGGACTATTGTTAAAGTCTTTATTGAATTTGTTACAATATTGCTTCTGTTTTATGCTTTGGTTTGTTGGCCACAAGGCATGTGGGATCTCAGCTCCCCGGCCAGGGATGGAACCAGCACCCTCTGCAATGGAAGGTGAAGTATTAACAACTGGACTGCCAGGGAAGTCCCTATAATGGATATTTCTTAAATGAGAATGGAGAAGGATGAGAAAAAAAGCAAGTGGTTTTTTCAAATAGGAGTTCTTTCTAGATTCAGTAATCTGCTTAATTTTCTGATTATTATTAACTGAATGAAAGACTGAAAAACACACATAATTTAGTTCAGCATGCATCATCTTAACAGAGCTAGAGTCTGGAACCTAGAATATTACTTTTATAGAATTCAGTTAACCAAATTTCTGACTACCCAGTCCTTAGAAGGTTGAATAGTTGAGACCAAAGAATAGATGTCCCTTACTCCCTGACCTGATCAATTCTGTTTATTTTACATTCTTTGGTACTATGCATTAATACTTCATCTTTGTAGCTCTTATTATAATTGTAATTTTACATTTATTTGGATATTATTATTTGTAAGCACCATAACGGAGAAACTGTCTAGTCTGTATTGACTAAATCCCTATCACCAACCAAGTGCCTAATACCCAGTAAGCATTCAATAAATACTGGTGGAACTGAAGAATGAAAAGTGGAAGAGGGTGGGGCAAGAGAGGACATGATGAGCTGGTCTTTGTCTCCAGTCTGTGGGTACCTGGGAACCTCTCCCAGAAGTGTCCTACAAACTGACTCATGTACTTTTATTTACATATATTCAAGATGCAAATAAAGTACTAATAACTGTGACTAAATTAAAATACCAAACATTTATCTTCTATAAGGCAACTTTAAAGCAATCCACACACTTCACAATTTGTCTTTAGCCAACTTTAGATATATAACCAGATTTTCTTATCATCTTATATTTTGATAATTAAGGACAAATAAGGCCTGTTTTCCTGAGTGCTTTATATAATGATTATCATATAAATAGGCCAAGTTCTCTTTTCTCTTTCCTATGAATTTGGGGTTTGTATGGTGATTGTGTGTGTGTGTTTGTGTATAACATGTACATAAATATGTTAAGTTTATTTTTAGGACACAACTTAATGAACAAAAGCAGATTATGAAAAGTGTTTATTTCATATAAGATGGATTAAATATGATTAACGAATGAGTCTCATCCTATTGATGTTGCTGATAATAATCACTCAGTAAATATTTGTTGACAACCTGACTAAAGTAATAATAATCAGAAAGTCATGTATCACTACACTGGTAAACACTAAATAAAATGGGTTTCAGAAAACCTCCCAGGTTGATAAAACCAAGTATCAAAAATATTATGCAAATAATTAATGAATTTGAATACTTAGAACTTAAAAGTTCAGAAACACTGCATACTTGTATTACCATGTCTGAAGAGCTCATGCTCAAGAGAGTTTTTCTTCTCATTCTTGTACTTTTGCTGTAGAAATTCAATTCTGGGACACTCACATATACTTAGGCTGTTAGCAAGAATAACAGCTTCTTTTCTGAGAGGCAGCTGTAAAGAAAAAACAAAGTATGAGTATTTTTACAAGATTGACAATACTTCAACTTTAGTAAGATGGTTTATCATTTTATGTTTATGTGTCTGTACAAGGAAACTGCAGGTCAGACTCACTGAAAAGAAGTAGATAACCTTCAGGTGCAACTTCATTCTATAAAACCATTTATATATTTTAAATTTATATGCAAATAGATTTATGAAAAGTAATACAGAACAACATTTGTTCCTGTAAAACCAGCCAGAGTCAAAACTGACCACTCTGTGTGGTGCAGGAGCTATAGTTTTGCACGTTTTCAAGGATACTCCACTAGCAACTGTGCAAATTCCAAAAAGAAAATTCTGTGGGAAATTACACTGAAGATTCTTATTTAAATAAATAAAAGTCTAATAATTGGTCTAATAATCTACATTATTTTCCAAATACATCTCATTGTGCTAATGCATGGAAATTTTAGTTTGCATTGTGATTAGAGTTACTTCTTTAAAAGTGTTTTATCAGAAATATTCATATTACTTGCTGTGAAAGCAGCTCTAAAACAAACAAAAATCTCTATTTTTAACAGTTAAAAAAAAAAAAACCTAAGAGAGTTTATATGATCTATCCAAGGACTGAAGCAGAAATTGGCAAAGTCATGCCTTGGACTCAGGTCTACTCCTCCTTGTCACTTCTTGGAGTTTTGAAATTATTACTAGCTTAATATTAGTAGCCAAATTATCTAAAATATATCTTTTATATAAATGCTGAATTGCCTATTTTCTTATTGAAACCTGTTATTCAAAGAGATTTAGAAAAATAAATACTAAAATGTGGCTCATCTGATCACAAATTCCACATTCTAGTAATTATAATCTCAGATTTCCCATGAACATCACTAAATATCCATTAGATAGAGGCTATGTGCATGGCTCTCTGCCTGGACCAGACACTGCCACACTAAGCCAAATCCTCCTTCTCAGCTGCTTACACAGCATATCTTTTTAATCAGATCCCGTCTCTTAAATGATGCAGAACATAAATATCAATCTTTACTCATTGTGTGCACAACATAACATAGAAATTTAGCTTATCTGAGCTTTGTGCTACCCAGTGATTTTTCTAGCCAATTATCTTGCCCCATTTCTAAGATCTTAACAATGAGAGTAATTGATGGTGTGTGGAGAAAGAAGGGCAGAATAGTAAACGTTAACCTTCTGGTATTTTCTTGTTTAGAGGCAAGACGGGGAAAGAAAAGGAAACAAAGATGGGACAATCAGAAAAATGTGAGGATAACAATAGTGTATGGATGCTAAAGGAGAGTTTCAAAATGGAAAGAGCAATCAAAAGTATCAAATGTTTTAGCAATAACCTGCCTCCTTAGCACAGAAGGCTGCGTGTCAGTCTCATAATCAAATGTTTCAGCAATAATGGTGAATTTAATAAAAAATTTTCTATGTGCCAGAAACTGGTCTAAGAACGTTTTTGGTAAATTTTAATAATATATTTTAAATCTAATATTTCACAAATATTATCATTTTAATATGTAATCAATATAAGAAATTATAGTCTTTTTTTCTGTACTAAGTCTTCAAAAACTGGTATTATATGTCTTAAACTTTTAGCACACCTTAATTCTGACCAGTCACATTTCAAATGCTCAGTAGTCACATGTGGGTGGTGCCTACTATATTGGACAGAGCAGTGTAGAGCACTGCTGGAAGGATTAGAGATATTGTATCTCCTTTAGGAGATGCAGGGGATAAAGTGCTAGCACAGTGTCTGGCAGGCAGAAAACACACAGAAATAGCCCCATCCTTCCTCTACCCTTTGTGCCCATGATGGTTCAGAGTTCTCTGATATGACCCTGAGCACTTCACTCACCTTCCTCAATTCTTCACCTCCTTCCTACTTCTCTTCCAGAAAGTACAGTGAGGGCACTCTCACTATACCACCCTGCTGAAGCTACCATCATCTCTGGCCTGAGCTGCTGTAGGACCTCCCCCGTGTAGTGGCCCTGTCATTGCTTCTACTCCCCCCAATTTATTCTCCACCAAGAGGTTGGAAAGCTTTATTGTGATTTTTTTTTTATTGTGGTAAAAAAAACACATAAGGTTAAAAGCTACCATTTTAACCATTTTAAAGTGTACAATTCATTGGCATTAAGTACATTCACGATGTTGTACAACCATCACCACTATCCATTTCCAGAACGTCATCCCAAATTGAACCTGTATACTCATTAAACAATAACTCTCTGTCCCTCTATCCTCCCCATCCCCTGGTAACCTCTATTCTACTTTCTGTGTCTACCAATTTGCCTATTCTAGATATCTTATGTAAGTGGAATCGTACAGTATTTGTCCCTTTGTGTCTGGCTTCTTTTATTTAACATAATGTTTTCAAGGTTCATCCATGTTGTAGCATGTATCAGAATTTGATTTCTTCTTATGACTGAATAATATTCTCTTGTATGTATATACCACATTTTATTTATCCATTCATCAGTTAATGGACATTTGGGTTGCTCCTACTTTTTGGCTATTGTGAATAATGATGCTATGAACAAGTATCCAAGAACCTTTTTGCACATATCTCACTAAATCCTAACCATTCTGTTAAGAAGATACTATTATTATCTTCACTTTACAGAATGGATGAAACAGGCACAGAGAGGTGAAGTCACCCAGCTGGTGAGTAGGAAAGCCAGGATTCAAATACAGCAATACTTTGATTTTATGCGTGCCATGATGAGAAAAGGATTAGGAAACACTGCTCTATACCAGTGTGCTACAGCTGCCTCGTCAAATGGGTGGAGGACCGAGAAAGGTTGATTGGATATTTTGGAGCTCAGGAGTGACCAAGGATAAAGCAATATCAGTATCAAGGTGGGGAAAATGAAGTAGAGAATAAAGAAATGGTGGCAGTAAAAGTAAAGAGAAAAATAGGATGATAGAAAGCACAGCAGTGTTAACTGAATGAATTTTTTCAAGATGGAGAAGACCTCGATGAGTTTAAAACAGATTAAAGAAGTGGATTTCAAAATCATCCACAAAAGGATCACAATATAAAATATAAGATGCCTAGAAAGATTAAATAGATAATAATGAAGATAAAGTAATTCATGATTCAACCAACTGTAGATTGAAAATATTTTTAAAAAAGAATTCTGGAAAGTTCCAAAAAGCAAAACTTGAATTTGCCCTGCTTCCACAACTATTTACATAGAATTTACATTGTACTTACAACTATTTACACAGCATTTACATTGTATTAGGTATTACAAGTAATCTAGAGATGATTTAAAGTATACAAAAGGATGTGCATAGGTTACATGCCAATAGTATGCCATTTCATATAAGGGACTTGAGCATCCTTGGATTTCGGTATTTGTGGGAGGTCCTGGAACCAATCCCCCTGGGATACTGAGAAATTGTACTTTCCATGATAGCACTAAGCTTTTTTGTGAAACAGTGTAAGTTTGCTCTAACATGAATGAAAGCATTGAGAATCAAACCACGCTTAATCAGTGGCAAAGTTTTATTCATTAGGAAGAAAGCATTATTCTGAATGACATTTTATGTTACCTTGCTCGTTTCACTGTCTTTGAATCCTTTTTCAAGTATTTGTAGCAGATGCTTTTTCTTCACTGTAACTTCAGGATCAAAAACATAAAAAAGGCATTCCAGCATCTGTCGATAGCTCCTTAAGAATAATTAAGACAAAAAAAGTTTTAGAATTGATTTCAGAAAAGCCTAGCTGTAGATAAGTGACCGTATGCCTTGCCCAGGATATTTCCCATTTACGCTGGATGTTCCAGTGTCATTATTAAACTTGCACTCCTCCTCAGTCTCAAAAAGAGCTCCAATGTGGATAAACTATGAGGTCATCCTAGTCAAGGAAGATGCATGAAAAGGAACTATCTACTGACAAGGATATTTTCAACATTGTAAACTTTTAAAACAGACTTTCTTTTACAAAATAAAATCAGACTGTTGTAAAAATGTTCCTTATGGAAGTTAACTTCTTACTCCGAATCATGCATATCTTCATTGTCCAAAAACTTTTGGAATTTCTCTTCAAATTTTAGTCTTAGAATACGGTTGTTAACCTTGATGACACGTTTTACTTTCACTCCTGTAATACCATACGTTCTGAAGTCCCATGTACAAAATCGTGATAGAATTAATTCATAGCAGGAATTAAACCTATATGGGAATACAAAATATATGCAAAGAAAAGAGATTTTCCTTAAAATGTTGAGAACACAAAGTTACATATGAAAAAAGTAATAGCTAATATATTTTTTTTTTTTTTGCCAAAGATAAATGGTCATATAGTATAGCTCTGATTTGGTTCTTATTCAATCAGTAAAAGAGGCGCTAAACTTTGAAACATAAAATAATAGTTCTTTCATTAATTATTATATATTTGTTCTGACTAAAAGATATGGAGCAATCTTCCTTTATTGAAACACTTCATTTTTTGGCTTCAGTAAAACTACATGCTTCTGGCTTTCATCTTACTGGCTGCTCTTTCATGTTTTTCTTTGCTGCTTCTCTTTCCTCTGACAGACTTCTAAATGTTGGATTGCCCCAGCAATCAGTCTTTGGCTCTCCTCTTGTTTCCATAAACTCTATCCCTAGGTGATTTCACCTGGTCCTTTGGAAATACATATTTTAAATATATTATTTATATATATATATATAAATACATATACATATATATTTATTATACTAGTAAATTCCAACATTTTATTTTCAGGCTTTACCCTTACCCCACTTAGCTGGATATACCTACTCTTGAACATCCAACTACCTGCTTGCTGTGTTCACTTGTATATGTAATAGGCCTCTCAAATTTAACTCACCCAACACACCTGCCTTTAAACCTGCTCCTCCTGAGTGTTTTCCACCTCAGTATATGGCAACATCACCTAACTGGTAGCTTAGGTTAAAATCCCAGGAATAAACCTTGCCTCCTCTCTTCCTCACCAATATCCAAGTCTTCAGCAAGTCTGTTTGATTCTACATCTAAAATACATCCTGAATATGACCCTATTTAATCATTACCGCTGCTATTTTCCTAGTTAAAATCACCATCATCTCTTAGTTGGGCTATTGCAATAACTTCATAGCTAGGGATATAGAAGTGAAAGAGGCAGGGTCCCTGCTCTCATGGACCCTATCTTCCAAGGGAGTTGGACAAAAAAATAAACAAGACATAAAAAAAATCTAAACTGGTAAGTACTCTGAAGAAAGAGAGGCTTGGGGTAAGAGAGGCTTGGAGAGGCAGGGGCTACTTAAGACAAGTCTTGGGTAAGACGTTCAGAGAAGATATTTGAGCTAAAAATTGAAGGAGAAGTAGGGGCCTGCTGTGTGAAGATCTCAGGAAAATGTACACAATGCTCATTTGCTCTCTGCTGCCCTTGCCTGGCCACGCTCACAGTAATAATTCTGGCACTGTCTTAAAGTAGCACAGAATTTAGATTAATTTGAAATTTAAGGGGGGGGTCAACTGTATGGTGACAGATGAAACTAAATATTTGGTGGTGAGCACACTGTAATGTATACAAAAGTAGAAGTATAATGTTGTACACATGAAACATATAATGTTATAAACCAATGTTACCTTAATGAAAAGAAGTAAAAATAAAAAATAAATTTGAAAAAAATGGATCAGTTTGAAAAGGAAGTTAAGTGCTCCTATATGGGGTACATCTGCCTTTGAATGAGATGACTGGTCCTCACTGGGATAATCAACCAGGGCCTGAGCGTGGGTGTGGGCTAAGATCACAAAGGTAAGCTTCCTGATGGGGTGTCTCTTCCTAAGACTAACATCTGAGCTCCTAATTTAGAGCATTCGCCTTTCTCACCAGCAAAGACTGAACCAGTGCAGCTAGGAACTGCCCAGTTACTCTTCCCCAAGAGTTGAAAAGTGAGCTGCCCAAACCAAACTAATCCCAGAGGAGCTCGCAGTCTGGTAAAGGAGACAGAAATAGTGCTGCAATCCAGCATAATGCTGCTAACTAGTTCAGAGGTCCGGCTAAACAACCAGATCATCATGTGCAGTGGGAAACCTACAGTGTCATGTATAGGGGGATCATTTCCTGGGTGGGCCTAAATTAGTCCAAGTCACCCCTAAACAACATGTCCTGGAACCACTGAAACTCATTATTACTTGCACTCTAATTGTTATTATTATCATTATTATTGTGCTCTGATAGAAACTAGTGCTATAGGCGTTTTATGTAGATAAGGTTTTTGTTATAAAGTAACAAAAGGGTAATCGAGAATTGCCCTTGAGAGTAATCGAGAATAGATGGAAGTGATGAATGGACAGTTCCCAGCTTCTAGCCTGGTCTCCCAGGAATGCAAGAACCAGGAATGGCACAGGAAACTCCAAGTAGTATGATCCTTTCATAGAGCTTTTCTTTGGGAATTAAGCAGCTGATCCCTTCCTCATATGGAATTCCTAGAGCCCTGGAGATACAGAACCCTGGTGCTGAGAGGACAAGGGCTCTGTGCTACCTGGGGTCACAGAAGTAAAGCAATTCATTCAATCACCTGGCCACACCGTGGATGAGAAAACATCATTCAGAGGCTGCAATACTGCTGGAGGAGGGAGAACAGACCTATGCTGATAGAGAAGTACTGAGACTTACAATATTATCAGTACGTCATGGAGGATGATAACTTCTTACAGCACTGTTGAATATGTGCTACATGCAACTGGGGAGCATGTCATTACTGGTCTGATGTATACACATTTTAGTCTGAACCTGAAATAATGACTCTGTAGGACTTTGTATAAAATAATATTGAAATCTGCTACACCTTTCTTTCAGTCTGATAGATTTAAGGGCAAAATTGAAACTACCCAGCCCAGCCTGCAAGACCCTTAATGATCAGGCCCTTGTCATGTGGAACTACTGAGTTCTCCAAACATATTATACTATTTCCACACCCTTTCACATGCTGTTTCCTCTGCCTGCAAAGTCCTTCCTCTAATTCTTCGTATAGTTAACTTCTATCAGTCCTTCAAAACTCAGATCAAAGCATCTCCCTCAAGTGTCCCCACTTCCACAATACTTTCTGTAACTTGCCACTCTGCTTTGATCTTCACATAGCTGCCCTCTCCTACATTCTCCATGTGTACAATCATCCCAGAACTTATTACTATTTCATTACCATAGTCTTCTACAGCAGATTGTAGGCTTGATTAGAGAGGGAACTATATCTTATTTAACTTTTATCACTAGCACCTAGCATAGAATGTGACTTATGGTAGAAGCTCAGTGGATGAATGCTGAGCAAGTGAACAAAGTAGAAAAGACTCAAAGATTAAAAAGATGCAGTCTCTATCTTCACCGAGTTTATAAACCAATAAAGTGAAGAAGTAATGGATAAGTACAAGCAAAATTATAATAGAGTATAAGATAGGAGAGATAAAACTCAGTGCTATGAAGATTCAAAAAGAAGAAGAAGAAATGACTATAGCTGATGGAGATGACAAGAAAATTCCTCACAAAGGAATGGCTTTTGATGTCATCCTTGAAGATAAAGTAAGTTTTGACAGGCAATGATAGAGCCAGGGCCTGGGATGCGAGGCATTCTGGGTGAAGGAAGTAGAACAAAGAAAACCACTTATGTGATGGTGTACCAGATATATTCCAAGAGCAGTGAGGCATGAACAGTTCAGCTGACTCTGAAAGGGTTTGAAAAGGGGTTAGGGTAGTTTGGAGACTATACAGTGAAGGACACTGAATGTCAGTGTGAAGAGTTAGAATGTAATTTGGAAGATAACAGGTTGCTACAGGAGGCTTTTGTTTTGTTTTTAACAGAGTGCTCTTGGCATAGGCAGGGACCAGCTATATGTAGCAATAGTCTAAGAGGAAGGTTATGATGGCCCATGTGCAGGAGATTTTGGTTACAAAGAGGGAGAGAACGAATGCAAGAGACATTATGGAGAGAACCTGTGGGTCTTAGGCTGATTGGATATGGAGATGGAGGAAGAGAATGGAGTCAAGAATGGCTTCAGTGTTTGTTGTGCCTCTATGACTAAGAGGGTGGTAGTGCTACAAACAGGAATGGAGGAGTCAGAAGGAAGGGGTGGTTTGTGGGCAGGAAGAGGAAAACAAAAGCAAAAAGATTAAGAACTAAATATTTTTACATCACCTTGTCTAATCCTAACAGTAACCTTTTGTGATAGTTTTTTATTTTCTCATTTTACAGATGACATTCAGATGAGTTAAATAACTGTTTTAAGACTATGCAGATAGAGTTTGAACCTAGGCTTTCTGACTCTAACCCCACTGTCTATTTTTTAGTTTACAGCTGAGTTCCCTTTTAAATGTGTTGAGTTTGCCTTGCCAGTTGGACATTTGGCTAGAAATGTCTAATAGGTAGAAATTCAGGACTGGGGTAAAGGAGAGAGATTGTAACTTTAAGTAATTTTTGAAAGTGCAGGAGTAGAAGAGACTGTCAAGGGAGAGTGTAAAAAGAAAATAGGAAATGTCTAACTACAAGAAAAAAAAAAGAGAGAGAGAGAGGTGAAGTTACACGGAAGGAATGGCTAAAAGCAACAAGATCTGCAGAGGTTAGGAGAGTGAGGGCCCCTCATGTCACTGGGTGCCCCCACTCATTCAGTAAGACCTGAATGTGTGAGCATCCACAGTGGTGATATACACATTGACTAAGATATTCAGTTACACAGAGAGATGCCTACAAACGTTCTTAATATACAAATGATGCACCCATTTAGCAAATGTAGAATGCACATGGTTTTAAATGGCTGAAGCATAATATAATCTATTAAAATCACTTCAAAATCCTAAACAAGCATTTAATAAATACTGTTAACTGACTTGCTGACTTAAACCATATCAAAAACAAATATAAAACAGTATAAAACAAAAAGTCTGAGTTTCTGTAGCTCTCTAAAACAGTACAGCCTGAAATGTTTATATATAAAGTTAGATTAATTACTGAAAGTTATTTTATAGACAAAAGTGAACCTACTAAGTGAATATCTATATATTGATATAGAGACTTCAATTAGTTATCTATTGAGTTATGAATCCAGCCAGCCCTATGCTAGATGTAATGACTTATAAGGCACATCCTATCTGTCCCCAAGGATCTCACAGAGTCACTTATATATTGTTTTGTGGTACTTTGAAGTTATTTCTTTAAATTGTAAATGCCATGCATGTATCTATAACCAGGTTAAAAAAGCTTCTCAAGCACAAGGACAGCATCTTTGATGCATTGGAGTCCCCATCTGATAAATGTTGATAAATGTTGTCTGTTGTCAATAGATATAACTCAGTTGGCAATACAGAGGTAAATAATATGATCTATAATGAAAATGCTGTAGTGGCAACAATACTCAACAGACAAGTCTCTGTAAAATCAGGACTTTTTTAAACTGAAAAATAAAGCTCTTCAATTTCAAAAAAGAAATGAAGCTAAGAAATTTTTTTTTTTTTTTTTTTTTTGCGGTACGTGGGCCTCTCACTGTTGTGGCCTCTCCCGTTGCGGAGCACAGGCTCCGGACGCGCAGGCTCAGCGGCCATGGCTCATGGGCCTAGCTGCTCCACGGCATGTGGGATCTTCCTGGACCGGGGCACGAACCCGCGTCCCCTGCATCGGCAGGCGGACTCTCAACCACTGCACCACCAGGGAAGCCCACTAAGAAATTTTTAACGATATACAATTAGAAATCTGCAATGCTCTTTTACTATAAACATAGGCTTTTCTGAGAGAAAACCTTTATGTTTTAGTTCTAGCTCTACCCCAGTACTTTTTATTTAAATGCTAAATATTGGCCTTAAAAATATTAAAGAAAAGTCAGTGTTTAAATTATAAAATGACTAGATATGTACCACACAGAGCAATTTAAAGCACTTTAATAGTTATTTCCTAATATACATAAACGATCAGAGCTAAGGTAGCCAAGCTTGTAGTATGCTAAAAGTAACAAACAGTCCTTGAAATTCTGCCAACATGTATTTGATTTTCTCCTTAAAATGGATCAAGGTTATTTTTATTAAAACCAAGTAAACAATTATTAATGCTTATTAAAATCCACCAAAGCTATCTAAATTACTATCAGGCTGACACGGTTACCTAAATGGCTTTTTAGTTATTTTGCTTTTACATAGTTTTTTTCACTAATGTACTTGTTTTATAAAGAGCTTACTTTGTGATAAGTTAAAAAGAAACAAATAATAAAAAGCAATTCTGTTTAGGTTAAGTGAATACAAATAAAAGACTGAAGAATTATGCATACATCCTGCAGAGAGACACCATTCAATTCTTAACACTTGAAAAATCAAGGCCTCTACTTGTTTACATGGGGACTGGGATGAATACCTTTTCTATCTTTGTACATAAAAATCAAATATTGTGGTTAAGCAACAGTGATAACTGTTGGGCAAATGGATCTACTGATACAAAAGAAAGTATTTTAGAAGATCCCTTTGTCCCTTGGGCAGAGCGTCTTAGACTTTTCCACCAAAGTACCCCCAAGGCCCTTCAGAAGCTTTTACTCACAGAGGTGAGTTAGAGCCACATCTAATAGAATCAGGGGGCTTGGCTTAAAGTAATGGATAACAGTCACACATTTTTCTTTCTAAAAGGTTATTGTAAGTTTTGTAGTTTACTTCACAAAAATCATGTTTGTTTCAACAGTGACAGTGAGTAAAACCATCCTCTGGGGTGATATATCAAGTCCATGCTATAGCTTTACATGTTTCCTTGTTCACGGGCTTCTCAATTTTGAGAAAGTGACTGCAGAAATATGAAAGTTATGATATTTTTGTGCCAAGGCTCTCTTTTTTTAGGATCATTTTTTGGGTTGTACCCTCTAGTTGAAGCAACACAACCACTTCCTTGTGTCTACCAGTAGGACTTGATTCTGAAGTGTGGATCCCTTTTTCCTGTTTCCATTTTGGGTGGCTTTGCCATTTTTGTCCAAATGGGCTTTTCACCCGAATTCCTGGTTTTTAAGCGTCTGCCTTATTTTAACTCATAAAGTCTATGTGCACCCTGACTCTATCTAGCTCTAGACAACTGGTTTCACTTTGATCATGGACCCCCAGGAAATTTACTAGGCAGCCTCCTCCAGTATTTGCAACTTGCTGTTGCCAATCCTGCTTTGCCACTCCTTCCCTATTCTAGCCTCTCACCCAGTATTCAGAATCCAGGGCTATATTCAGTCCAGAAATAAACCGTATAAACATACATAAAATTAATTCGTGACCATAAGCTTTTCTAAATTATATTCTGCTCTTGGGCTAAGGAAAATTAAGTAAAGAGCAAAGAAATACTATTAGGATGTTTTCAAGTTAGCTCATGGCAATAGTATAAACAGAGAAATGTATATATGGTAAAGTAGGTAACTGCCAATTTTCAGTGGATGAATACTCTATATGGTAAGTGTTTTGAAATGGGACATTTTAAGATTTTTATAAGTTGATATTTTGGTTGATGATCCTAAGCACTTAAAATTAGTTTTAAAGCTATAACTAAATATCAAAAGATTTACCAGTCATCAGATCGAGTGCCTTCTTCAAAGTAGATGTTTCCCACAGTCTCCAACTCAATTAACAAAAATGGGATTAATAAACTATGATTTTTCTTCTTTTGTTTTACTTCAATACGATAAATTCCTTCAATTCTATTTAAGAAAAAAATAAAGCTATTAAAATGATCTAAAATTCACAACATTAAAATTCATGATAGTTTCTTCTAAGCTGATGTTAAAATATAAGGCTTTCATCAATGAATAAAGACAGCTTGGTGCTAACAGTTAAACCAAGTAAAAGACATTCTGTTTTTGGCAATTAAAATCACCTCAAATTTTGTTAACCTCAGAGTAAGTGAAGGTTAGAAGACTCTCCTGGCTCCACCATTTATGATTCTCAGATCTTAGACAAGTCACATTTTTCTGCTGCAACTTCTTAGAAAATGACAAGATTGATAGTACCTACACCTGAATAGGCTTTTTGAAGATTATAGGCAAAATATATGAAAAGCTCTTAGCCAAGAGCTTGGCACAGAGTAAGAACTCAATAAATATTAGTTATTATTTTGTTACTATTTATTATTACAGGGCAAACTAACTTATCCACTTAGTGCCTTAGTAAATTAAAAAAAAAATTCACAGTACTTAATAAGTCTTCTTGCTTTATGTTTCTAGTTGATACTCAACCTGAGTTTCTTTCTACATGATTCCAGACAACTTTTGTATGTGCTTTCTGCACCAGTAGCAACTAACGTTAAAAAAACTAATGTTTTTAATTTGCAGACACTAGAGTCATGTGACAAGAAGCCACTCAGGGGAAGTCCAGTGTTCCTAGTAAAGTATTGCTTCTTTAAAAAACTATATGCTAACTTTGAACCAATGATGCCTACCTCTACTAAGAACTGGACTGAAAAAACATGTTGTGTTTTACTTCATACTGTAATTCTTTCCATTCCTGAAGAAGAGAATTGAGCTCGACCAGTGGCCCAGAACATTCTTTTCCCTCATGTTTCAAATTTGAACAACGAGATAATTCATTAAACGTACTCATCTAGTTTTTTGTTCCAGAATGTTACCCTTTCATTCAAGGCATTTAGTTTGGTCACTATCTTCTGCTGAAGACTTGGTTCTTCTGTGAGAGTTTCACAGTTTTTTGATTTTTCAAGCTCAGTTACTTTATTGTTACTGGATCTATCATTGTGCCCTTTGCCAGATCCTCTGAGTTCAGTCAGTTCCCGTTCCAACTGTTGAAATCAATGTGCCAGAGAGCAAAATTGTTCAGTGGAATCTATTAAATATTTAGTTAACTTAAATTAACAAAGTAGCAATCTAGATAATAAATAAGCCAAACTTCATAAAAACATGGCAAGCATGTGATTATAACTTTAGTACAAGTTTGGTCAACGAATTTCTCTTGACCAAGTGAAATTAAATACTTCAGACATGGCAGTTCTCTCAACTGAAAATAAGAAAAGCAAAGAAATAAATTTTAAAATATTATTGATGAGTTAGCTTCTAATAAAGCCAAAGTAAAATGATAAGAAATGCTGGTTTTGGAACAAAGAGAATAAGCTTGAAATAATGTGACTTTTATCACTCCTACTTTTCAATTTTTCAACTACTTTGGTATTCTGGGAAACAACATAAAAAATATACACAAGCATGGATATAGGGGTGCACATTTTTCTCTTTGCCTCAGTCTCCTATACGGCTCTGCACAGCAATGTCGTTATTTAAAATTTTGATATTTGTGATTTTTTCTTGTTGTTCGTAATGGACTTTTTTTGCATTCATTTGTATTTTTAAGAAATATTATAATAGGGACTTCCCTGGTGGTGCATTGGTTAAGACTCCATGCTCCCAATGCAGGGGGCCTGGGTTTAATCTCTGGTCAGGGAACTAGATCCCACATGCATGCCACAACTAAGAGCTCACATGCCACAACTAAGGAGCCCACATGCCGCAACTAAGACCAGCGCAACCAAATAAATTTAAATAAATATTTTTAAAATATATATTATAATAAAATACATGATTTATCTTAATTATGGAGGTTTTAGACCTTCCCTTAAACTTTGGGCCCAGGGTGAGTGCCTCATTTGCCTTACCCTAACCCCAGCATCGTAGAATGGATTTCAAGATAAATTGTACTGTACACAGAGAAGTGCATACAAATAGAAATTTGCTAAGTATCTGTACTCCTTTCTCTATAATGGCTACATACAGCTGTTAAAAAAATGAAGTAAGCATATTTTATAAAAATACCTATAGTTTATATAATTTATAACTATTATTTTTCACATATTAATACATCCATTTGCACATGAAAATGGCAGATATAAAATGATTTCCATATACTGGTTTTCCTGTCGTTTTTTATTCAAATAAATAAATTACGTTAATGTTTTAAGAATACCTTTCTGATTATAATATGAATTTAAACCTGTTCATTTCATAAAGAGTACTAAATATATTTTTAAAAATTGATTTTTAATCGCTACATACCATTCAATCTTAAGAATGAGTAATTCTGCCTCTCTTTTTTAAACATTTAGGTAGTTTCCAATTTTTTGTTGTTATTAATAGTACAGTGATGAATATTCTCATATAAATATTTATCCAAATCTTTAAATGGAGTGCTAGAAGTAGATTTACTGGGTCAAAGGCTATGAGCATTTTTAGGCTGTTAGTAATATATATGACCCAATTACACTCTCATCAGTGGTGTAATAGTGTCACACCCATCTTCACCAGGCAGGCTATGACAAATTTATAGGTGAAAATGGTTGCTTGTTGTCTTATTTCATATTAGGAAATTAATAATCAGATTGAGGTCCTCTTTCACATGTTTATTAGTTTTTATTTCTTCTTTTGTAAAAAGATAGTTTATGGAATTTGCTTAATTTTTCTATTTGGATATATACTTTCTTGTCTTCTTTAAAATTTTTTAATTAATTTATTTATTTTTGGCGGCATTGGGTCTTCGTTGGTGCGTGTGGGCTTTCTCTAGTTGCAGTGAGTGGGGGCTACTCTTCATTGTGGTGCACAGGCTTCTCATTACAGTGGCTTCTCTTGTTGCGGAGCACAGGCTCTAAGCACGTGGGCTTCATGGGCTTAGTTGCTCCGTGGCATGTGGGATTTTCCCAGACCAGGGATTGAACCCGTGTCCCCTGCATTGGCAGGCGGATTCTTAACCACTGTGCCACCAGGGAAGTCCCTTTTTGTCTTGTTTTACTTATGAGTACTTTTATACTAAGGATATTATGTTTGTCCTTCATGTTTGTTGAAAACAATTTTTCAGACTGTCATTTATTGTTTATTTTCATTAATGATGCTTTTTAGTACAAAAGCGTTTTACTTTTTTTTTTTCAATCAAAGCTAAATTCTGTTCCCTGTGATTTCTAGTATTTTTCTTACTTGGCAGGCTGAGATCAGTTAAATATATTAATCCATATACTCTTCTGCTTTTTTATGTTTTCATTTTTACATTTAATTCTATTTTCCCCACTGTATTTACTTTTAGTAAAGTATAAACTAAGGATCCAAGTCCCCTATTCCCACGTAGTTTGACTATTTTTGTAACACCATTTTTTGAATAAACCATTATTTTCTTATACCTTTTTTTTTAATACAATAAGTTCTTATACATACAAAGTTCTGTTTTGACGTAAGCCTTCATTTCTCAGAGTCTACTTTTAGTAAAGGAAATCCAATTTATTCTAAATTAAAAAAGCACATATAACTACTAAAGCACAAACTATTGAAGTATACAACATTATGGGAACTTTATAACAAGCTATACTTTAATAGTATACAACATACAATAGTAAAGAATACTTTAGCATTTTAGACAAGAAAATGAATTTTGAGCACAGCCTGCTGGTATCTAATAAAAATGTAGTGAAATAAGTCTAACAGATCTCTATAACTCACTGAATCATATTGAATTACACAGCATTTTTAAAACTTTATAAATTAATATGCCTATACTTCTTTTTTTTTTTTTGCGGTATGCGGGCCTCTCACTGCTGTGGCCTCTCGCGTTGCTGAGCACAGGCTCCTGACGCGCAGGCTCAGCGGCCATGGCTCAAGGGCCCAGCCGCTCTGCGGCATGTGGGATCTTCCCGGACCGGGGCATGACCCGCGTCCCCTGAATCGGCAGGCGGACTCTCAACCACTGCGCCACCAGGGAAGCCCTGCCTATACCTTTTTTAAATTGCAGATTTCTAAGCACAGAATGAAGCTTAGTTAAGTACCTAGAATCAAAACATTTTCAGGGCAAACTTACTTGAAACTTAGTATTAATTTTAAAAGGTATGCATATTTATAAATGTATACATACATATAAAATTTAAAAGATAATAGTATCTTATCTGCCAGTTTTCTTAAGACAAGGCTATTGAAATTTTACAATATTAAATCTCACATTTTTTTTCAAAAGGCTGAATAATTTTATTCGTTCTTCTGGCAACTTCTGTAATTTACATTTTCGATCATTCAGTTTTTCAAGATCTTCATTAAGATGCCTCTGAACAGTTTTTATACGCATATTGTAATACATTATTTTTTTCATTGCTGTGGTCTAAAAGTGAGAAAAAAGGTTAGCTGAAACAAAAAACATTATAGGTAATTATTAGTGGTATTATATGAGTGTGGTATGTTCTATATAATTATTTTTAAGTTTTACATGCTCAGTTACTAATAATGATATTAGTTGAAATAATGGCTACACAGAATCCTCTATTTAAATTTAATAAGCAAAACATAAAATTTCAGAGATGTTCTTTGTGTATAATATTTTAAGTGTGAGGCATATTTACTTTCAGTGACAACATAAAGAGACTATAGAAAGAACTCAATTTACAAAATAGTGTCATTTAGCTAATGTGGCAGTACTACTGAAGCTAACATATTATTCCTATTTGATTAATTTAGAGAAAAAATAAATTTAAAAGAATAAAATCAAATGTAACATTATTCATTTTTTAAATGCATGGCTAAGAAATAGGATTTCGTGGGTTTTTTTCCCCCAAATCTATAAAAGAATGCTCTAAATGAACTTGTTTTAGATTGAGCAAATTACTAAATTGTCAATCTAATCCAGTTATCTTGAATTCCTTAATATCAATGGATCATGCAGTTACTAATGTTTATCATGATAAATTGATTAAATCCACCATTAAGAAATATACCAGGTAAATGGTGCTCAAGAGTTATATTAGTCAAAAGAACTAGCTAAGAAAATAAACAAATCAGGTGCATGTTATAATGTGACCTAGTTTTAACTGTTTACCTGAAATAATGAAGGCATTATCGGCAAATCTGTACCTCAATTAAGTTGGAAGGCTTGTACACTGTTGTGTGATTTATTTAGTAGAAAGTGGATAGTCAAGATCCCAACAGAATTATTTGGCATAACAGATAGAATGGAAACAAATATACGGCTTGATGAACAGACAAAAGAATTCCTTCTCCACACATAATATGAAATTCTGAAACTGAAATTACTAAATTCTTCTGCAAAAAATCAGGCATTCATAACATAGAAGAGTTAAGGGGAAAAAGGCTGTTTTAGGGTGATGATTAGCAGATAAAAATTCCTGATCAAGAAGAGCTTGTTTCTCAGGTGCAATTGAGTAGAAGAAACTGTAACTAAGGAAATGGCAGATGGTGTTTCTTGATTTTTTTTTTTTTTTGCCTACAAGTGGCAAGTAAAGTCAGAACTTACCTACCCAAGTGACACACTTCCCCACCCACAACATTCCCTTGGTGATTCATCCAGTCCTCGGCTTGGTATCATCCTTCTGCTTTCAATTCCCATATCTTTATCTCCAATCCAGGCAACTCTCTTAAATAACAGTCTCATATATCCATCTTGGATATTCAAAAGATTGTTCAAACTTTATATGCTTAACATTATGCTGTGATTCTTCCTTCTAAATTTACTCCTCCCATACTCTTCCTCATCTCATCAAATAGCAACTCCTTCCCTCCTTCAGTTGCTTGGGTTAGTTGCTTGGAATTATTCTCTACCTTTTCATCTACACTTCAAATTCAATCTATCAGCAAATCCAGATGGATTCTACCTTCTAACTACTGCTACAATTACTTTTGATTACTTTTTACTACCCCCTCTACAGTGTCCTGTATCAAACCATCAGCATCTCTCATCCAAGTTTCTGGAATCTAACTGGTCTCTCTGCTTTCACCTTTTCCTTTAATCCTCTATTCTTAATTCATTAACCAAAAGGATCCCTTTAAAACATAAGTCATCTTGTTTCCTCCTCCTCTCAGAATTTTCCAGTGGCCTCATATCACTCAAAGTAAAAGCCAAAGTCCTTACAACATTCTTCAGTCTCACGTGATCTGCCCCCCACCACTCCTGTATTCATCTCTTCTTTCTTTCCTCTTTGCTTACTCAGCTCCAGCCATACTAGCCTCCTTGTTGTGCTTAAAATATGAGGCATGCTCCTGCTCAAGGTCTTTGTACTTGCTGATCCCTGAAAAACTTGCTCCCTTATTTCCTTCAGGTCTCTGCTCAAATGTTGCCTTAGTAAATCCTTTCCCAACAGTTCTATAGAAAAGAGCCTACAGCCCTTTCTCTGCCCCTACCAACAATCTTGTTTCCTTCACCCTTATTTCATTTTCCTCCATAGCATTTATCACCATCTGACATACTAGTTTTTCACTCATTTAGCTGCTTACTATCTGTCTTCTCTCACTAAATGTAAACTCCAAGGAAGCAGGGTTTTTTTTTCTGTTTTGGTCACTCTATTTCTAGTGCCTTGAACTGTGCCTCGAATGTAATAGGCATTAAATATTTGTTAGATAAATTAATCAGCCAAGTAATTTAGTGAAGCACATTCATCCTGCTCACCTTTTCAGAAAGTGTATGATGAAAAACTACAGAGATGATAATGGAAATTTCAAAAATATGGTTGTCACTGCAAAGTTTTGTCATTATTTTTGATTTAACATTGTTAGAGAAGACATTCCTCCCTGACCCTCCAATGACTCTGGACATCTGCTAGTAGACAATAACTCTAGCCTTTTGCTCAATATTACAAGACAGCTCACTTCTTAGATTGGGATGGGAGAGAGGATAATCTCAGTTTTGAAAAGATGAGAGGAGACAGTGGAACTTGAGAATAAATCCTCAAGCTACCAAGAGAAGAGATACAAGAGAAATGGATAAAGACATTCTTTATCTATGTTGAGATGATGGATGAGCCACAAGGAAAGGATGGGAGGGCTTCATGTGGGCACATTCTGGACACTCATAAACTATTTATTGAATGGTTAACTGAATAAACAAATGGGACTCAATGGACTAGAAGGAGAGGTAGAAATATAATGTGGGAAGAATATTAAAAAACATGGTAAATTCCTATGAACTCTACTCTCAAATTATAAAGCCTTTCATACCATGGCATAGTAGTCCCCTTACTGGGAGATTCACCATCAGTGACAGCCCAGGAAAAGCCCTTTTCAAGATTTTGGAGATCTTCAAGATTTTGGCAGTGTGGGTAGATTCACTTATACTTACAGAGAACCCCAAACCATCTTTAATTAGATTAAAATCTACCTAATCCTGGCATACTACCATCAACCATGGGTATCTTCTAATTTTGATATATAATACTCCAAATGAGAGGAGGTTACTTGTTTCATTTCTACTTTATTTAGGCTTAATTTTCGTATATATAGCATTAGTTTAATTATTCTTAACACTGATAATTTTTCAGATTTCCTTCAAGTTTTATATAAGTTTAAACGTTTTTCTATTATTTTACCTTCCAATACTGTCATCAAAATTGAGATTCTAGTACTAATGTTATTATCTGTATGCATCTATGTGAAATATCCAGTTCACTGGGCAAAAGTAGAATTGGTGACAACACTGACAAGATCATACTACCTACCACATGTTGACACAGCCAGAAAGAAGGAGTTAATTAAACTTAAGACACAGACACCTGATTAGGTATGCACTTACATCTGCCAGTTCCTTGATTTGCTTTGCTGACACATCAAACGTGTCAAGTCTTTGAAGGCAAGGCAAATGATATAACACATGTGTGGAATAATTACACAGCAGACAAACTGGATTGGTTTTATACTGAGGATCATTGAGACATAAATCCTTTAAGCGACGCAGCCTGGTTAAGTTAGTGAGGTCCTAAAACAACAGCAACAATAATGGTCAATTGATTAATTGCAACTCTCCATTTCTAAAGGAGGCATTTTAGCTCTTAAGATCACCCATAACTTAATGTAATGCATTCTAATTATGTGCTTTAATATGTTAAAGGTATTTAGATGCATAAAGTATTATTCTCTATTGAAAAAGATGCTAAATACATGAAAAATGGATCAACAATAATTAAACAGCAGACTCTATATAACTATACATTTTAAATGTAAAATGACAAAGAGTATTTACTAAATGATGTATTCCACATGAAACCCTGAAGCCCATTTATTCCTTAAGACACCATTCCCTCTCTGCACAGCCCCTTTGCTAACACGTGCCCCAGGAATAACAAGGATGTAGGTCTCCTACCTCCTTCACCATACTCCCCACACTGACCACCCAGGAACACAGCTCGCTATTTTCCTCAGCCTCCAGGTCTGCTCTTCTCACCAAAGGCTATGGCACCTATGTTTTAATATAATTAACACTGAACTCCTGATTTTTAGGGTTTTTTGGTTTGAGGTTTTTGTTGTTGCTGTTGTTGTTTGTTTCTATAAATGCCCTTTCTGCCTATTAAGGGCAACTGAAAGCTAGCTTTCTCCTGAGGGCCTCATTTTCCTCACAGCCTCTGGAGGGGTAGGGGTTGACGATGCACTTCCAGACCAATGTGATTCCTTAACATCTTTTATCTTGAAGTTTAAGTCACTGTTTACACCTTCCTTTATTTGGCATCTGGCCCTTGCTTAACTCTTCAGTCTTGTCCCTTCTATTTAAACCCTGACATTTTATGTTTTAGCCATACTGAACAACTTGAAGTTTCAGAATGTCCCAGACCATTTAGACATTCACTCACGCTTCTGCCTTTGAATGGACTGAACTTCACCCCAATTTTACCTTTTAATCTGTCAAGACTCAACCTAGGTATCTTCTTCTTTGAGAGCCTTGTTTCATCCCCCAGGCTTGGGGTAGATGCTCCTCCTATGAACTCTCTTAGCCACAGGGCTTACCCTTGTTATAAAATTTATCACACCCTATTGTCAATTATCCACAAGTCTATAAGCCAAGGGTCTGTATGTGCTTTGGCCCTCAATCCACAAGCTAAGAATGGTGATTGCATTTTTAAAGTGTTGGGAAAAAATAAAAAAGAATGTGTGACAGAGGCCATATATGGCCCACAAAACCTGAAATATTTTCTTTCTGGCCTTTTATAGAAAAAGTTTGCCAATTCCTGAGATAAACTCTTTGAGAACAGGGTTTGTGTCCTGTTAACACTGCATTCCCAGCATTCAGCATTTAGAACACAGCAGGCACTAAATAAATAATGTGAATTGAATTGAATGCTTATTACTTTCTACCAACCTCTAAGACACGCTCACATCTTTCTCAATAATAGTATTACTAGGGTGGTGCCTGGGGTAGGAAGGTACTATGGTAGAGTTGGACTTAAATGAATGCACTGCTAGTTAAGAGACTCAGAATCAGAATTAAAGGAAATCCAAAGCAAGGACCAGGAGGCACTAATTTAGAAGATAAAGTATCAATACAAATGGAATCGGGAAGCAAGTAGTGAAATCAGGCTGCTAGAATTAAGAGTAAGACAGGGTGAGGTGGATAATGTGTGTCCAAACTCTCTCTGGACAAGTGATAACTTGGCTTACTGGCTGGACCTAAGGCTATGGCTAGGCCCATAGCATGAGTGGGACTAACTAATCAGGGTGACTCTAAAAAGGAGATTTCTGAATAGAGCTGTGCAGAGAATTATTTGGTCAAATTCTGCAGGGCAAGGAAGGTAAACCATTGACTATGCTGAAGAGTAAAGATACTGTTTGATTTCTGGGTGGCTGTGTTGCATTTGACCATCAGTCTGGGCTATGGCGGGTGTGAACTTTGAAGTCTTATGCAGGAATCCTCCACATACACTCAGAAGTTAGATGACACTGGAGTCTATGAAAGCACATCTCACTTTCACCAGGATAGTATCTTTTTAGGGTGACTGGAAAGGGTAGACATAAAAATTCAGAATAATAATATTTCAGGAATATTCCTAATATTTGAATAATAAAGGTTGCTGTGAGTCATGTTCAATGTTTTTATGAGAAGCCATAATTATTATAGAGAGCCTTTTTAATTTTATGCCATACAATGAACCTTCACAATAATCCTATTTTTATCCCCATCCTTTTGATGAGGAGATTGAAATAGGTTAACGTCATTAAAGTGATAGTAATAATAATAAAATGGCATATCTATTGAGTGCTTACTGTGTTTAGTCATTGTTCTAGGAGCTTTATTTTATTATTTCACTTCAACTTCATGTTACCATTGTATTATGCTGCCCTTAGTCTGTGGCAGGGCTAGAAGTGACAGATCTTTCTGCCTGTGCAGCCTCTGCTCTTTACCACAAGGCTGCCGTGGCTGGCCAGGGTGAGATAAACTTCCATATGGCTTCTTGGCAGGGTGATACCTTATCCTCCCAGCCTTCTGCACTTATCTTCTTCAGCCTCAACTCATGATTCTCTCCCTCATTCCGTTCCAGGCACAGAGGATTTCTAGTTTTCTATATTTGCCACACTCTTTCCACCACTTAGGTCCTTCACACCTTTGCTTGGAATGCTATTTCCCTAGGTAACTCCTGCTTATGTCTCATTTGTTACCTTAAACATTACCTGCTACAGCATTCTGAATTTACCTTTCACAGCTCCCTCTGATCTCTGCTGCTGATGTTACTCAAATAACACTGATTTCTTACCTCCACACCTTTTTGCATATTGTTCTTCTCATCTTGGAATGCCTACTTCCCACTGCGTTGTAGAAAATCCTCCCTACAATGCCTGTTGAAATTCTGTCAACCCTTCAATGTTCACATCAGATATTTCCTCTTGAATTTGACTAATAAAATTAAATTTTATTGAAATTTCTTTTTAAGGTGTTTATAACATTCTGCCTCATTCTATAGATTTTTGGTGTCTTATATTCTTCTCTGAGTAAAAGAATGCCTACTTTAATATTGATCAATTCAAAATTATTTCTATAGCTAATTTGCTCACCTATTGTCTAGAGGAAGTGTTTGAAAATGTACCTTCAGTCTGACGCTGTCAGAATTATGAATGCCATATGCTTTCACCCACATTATATACCATAAACATTGTCTTCTTATTTGTTTTTTCTCTCTCATTTATGTGCTTGACAAATGGTTATTGAGATTCATTACAAGTCAAGTACTGCTTTAAGTATTGTAGATATAGCAGTGAACAAAACAAGCCAAATTCCTGTACTCATGGAGCTTGTATTCTAGTAAGGGTTGTGGGTAAGTGCCAATAGGAAAAATAAAACAGGGGAAAAGTAATGGAATGCTTCCACTTGAGGAGGGTAGTAGGGGTCATTGCTATTTTACTTAATTAGGCAGGAAAGGTGTCACCAAGAACATAACATTTGAATAACATCCAGAAAGAAATGAGATGAGTCACGAAGATATACGGGGTAAGAATACTCCAGCAAGTGCAAAGGCCCTAAGGTGAATGTGTCCTAGATATATGTAAGGAACAGTGAGGAGACCAGAGTGGCTAGAATGATGAAAACAAAGGGGAGAGTGGTAGAAGCTGTGGTCAGAGAGACAGTGGGGAGACTAGATTATATAGAGTCTGGTGGGCCATTGTAAGAACTGACTTTTACTTTGAAAGAGATGAGAAGCCAAGGGAGGGTTTTGAGCAGAAATGATTTGATCTGACATATTTTTAAAGGAGTGGGCTTCTATGTGGAGAACAGACTGAGTGCAGTGAAAGGGTAAACACAGGGAGAACTGTTAGGAGGCTTTTTTTTTTCCAATAATGCAGGAAAGAGATAATGGTGTCTTCAACCAGGTTGATAGTGATGCAGGTGGTAAAAAATGGTCAGACTTTGGATATATTCTGAAGGTAGAGCCAACAGAATTTGCTGATGGACTGGTTATGGGGTATGAATGAATAAGAGGAGTCAAAAATGACTCAAGGAGTTTGGCTTAAGTTATTAGAAGAATTGAGATGACATTTAGAGAAAGGGAGAAGGCTGCAGGAGACAAAGGTTCGGTAGAGGGGAAATCAGTTTGAGTTAGGATAGGAGATGTCTATCATTTGGGGTAATTGTTAGGGAAAGTAGAGATACCAATTTAGGAGTAATAAGTGGATAAAGGTATTTAAAGTTATAAGATGATTAGATTAGAGAATGAATGCAGATAGAAATGAGAAAAGATCTTGGACTAACTTGGGGCAATCCATTTTTTAGATGCTAGGAGAGGATGAGAAACCAGAAAACCAAAGAGGTGTAGCCAGAAAGATGGGAGAAAAACTAAGAGAAAGTGGTATCCTAAGAGCCAAGTAAATAGTTATTTGTTTGGTTTTAATAGTGTCAGATCGTTAGGGCCAATTTAATCAGGTAACTCTCAAATTTCTGGAAGTATTGGGTAGTCCAAAATAAATTACTCTTTAAGTGGGGACTCTTTAGTCCATTTTCTGCAAAAAGATGGTTCATGATCCAGGTTGATGAATAAAATAAATTATTCCACTTAAACATACCTTGAAAGAACATATTTGGTTACCAGAAAGGTTTAATCTTTCTAGTTGTTCATTGGGATCAAGACATCGACCTTTAATTAAAAAAAAACAAGATGAGAAAAAAGTTAAATTTCTCATTTTACCTCCTGTTCATATCTTGTCATATTTCTGAGTTGTATATGACTATTTTTTCTTGCATATAAATGAGACTAACAGTAACGTTGTATAATTAGTAACCACTGATCAATGGGTAGTATTTTCACATCCTGTAATTATAGATTTAGAAATGCTTTTCAAGACTGTACTTTTCATATTGACAAAAAATTAGTGTAACATTCTCTCATATTCCAAATGAAACTGTACATACCAATGCTGCTTATTAGATTTCCAGCAAGGTTGAGATCACTTAAATTCTTCAAAGTTTGCAAACCCTAAAATTTTAGACAATATATAATTTAGAAGAAATCATTAAAATCTATGTTTATAAATCATCTGAGCAATCTGGTTAGTTCTCCAGGTGTTCCAAGCACCAGGTGCTGTTTACTTTACAAGCTTAGAAGTAAGTGGGTGCCTCAGTGAAGTCTACTTTGTTCTCTGGAACCTGGAAAGAATTTTTGAAGGAGAAGGGAACAGGGAGGGAAGCAGAGAGGAAAAGAGGAGGAGGAGTAGCAAAAAGAACACATCACACAGAGTGTGTTTAAAATCTTAGGCAAGTTATATTCAAAACTTCTCTAAACCTCCTTTTTTTTTTTTTTTAACCTTCAGAGAAGAAATAACACCTTACCTCCCAGACACGGTGGGAGGAGTAAAGAAAATGATGCATACGAAGTTCTCTATATGTTACAATATGCTACATACACATTAGTTCTTCTTAACTAATTAAACTAGTCATGAATATTTCTTGGACATTGTGGTTAAACTCTACAGGAGTTGACTTTAAATATAAATCACTGAAATTATCTTACCTCAATATTTTTAATTGCATTGTGGTTCAGCCAAAGAACCTCCAATCTGGATAATTTCTCTAAATTTTCTATTTTAGAAATTTTATTAAAATATAAGTACAGTTTTTCTAAATTTCTACATTCTTGAATACCTTCAATTTTCTGTTAAAAAAAAAAGAGGAGCCTGAATAGTGTTAACTTGTGTTTTTCTATTAATCCTTCAATAAAGTAGATTTTAAGTACATTTTCCTTAAAAATCACATGTTCAGAATAGATTGCAAAATCAACACCCAGCGAAATGTACTAAAATATAAAAAATCATACAATCCCTCTGCCTAAATACTATTTTCAATTTTCATATTCTTTTTAAATCAACTTGATATCTATTTTTATATGGTTATAATCATAACCATATACATTTTGCAATATTGCTTTTCAATATAGATGTTATAATTTTCACACAACCAATAGGGTCAAAGTAAACCAATTTGACTAGCAGTACTGGGTATTATTTGATTTGATTTGATTATTAAAAAGTAGAATGTGTCTCTGTTTTGGCTCTTTATTTCTATTTTCTCCTTTGTATAAATCTATTTTTATATTTTGTCCATTTATCTGTTTTTGTTCTGTTTTGTTTTACTGGGCAAAGGGTTTAATTGCAATTCATCATGTATGAATCTATCTGTTTTGATCCATGCCTCAAGCATATACTTCAATGAATTATTTTTCCAAAGCCAAAGGACTTAGCATAATCTTCATGTAAGGTTATGTTTAGACTTACCTCTATGTAGCATTCGGCAATCCAAAGTTCTTTAAGCCGTAAACAAGTTTCTAGTCCTGAAATTTCTTTTATATCTTGAGCAACAATTGTGAGACTTGTTAAATTAGGAAATAATGATAATCCGAGTATACGAGGGTACCCTGAGAAAAACATTTCCAGTTTTGAAGTGTCTGATCCTTCTTCTCCAATCATCTCATAAGATAAACCATTGCATAAACACTGTTTTCAAGAAAGAAATTGGATTATTACCTGTTTAAGATAATAAAGGAAGATGGCGGAAGAGTAAGACGTGGAGATCACCTTCCTCCCCACAGATACACCAGAAATACATCTACACGTGGAACAACTCCTACAGAGCACCTACTAAATGCTGGCAGAAGACCTCAGACCTCCCAAAAGGCAAGAAACCCCCCACGTACCTGGTTAGGGCAAAAGAAAAAAATAAACAGAGACAAAAAGATAGGGACGGGTCCTGCACCAGCGGGAAGGAGCTGTGAAGGAGGAAAAGTGTCCACACACTAGGAAGCCCCTTCGCGGGCGGAGACTGCGGGTGGCGGATTGGGGGAGCTTCGGAGCTGCGGAGGAGAGCAGAGCAACAGGGGTGCGGAGGGCAAAGCGGTGAGATTCCAGCACAGAGGATCAGGGCCGACCTGACCGGCACTCACCAGCCGAGAGGCTTGTCTGCTCACCCGCCGGGGCGGGCGGGGCTGGGAGCTGAGGCTCCGGCTTCAGTCGGAGCGCCGGGAGAGGACTGGGGTTGGCGGCGTGAACACAGCCTGCAGGGCGTTAGTGCACCGCGGCTAGCCGGGAAGGAGTCCGGGGAAAAGTCTGGACCTGCCGAAGAGGCAAAAGACTTTTTCTTCCCTCTTTATTTCCTGGTGCGCGAGGAGACGGGATTAAGAGCGCTGCTTAAAGGTGCTCCAGAGACAGGCGCGAGCCGCGGCTAAAAGTGCGGACCCCAGAGACAGACATGAGACGCTAAGGCCACTGCTGCCGCCACCAAGAAGCCTGTGTGCGAACACAGGTCCCCTTTTGGGGAGCCTGTGCAGCGCGCCACTGCCAGGGTCCCAGGATCCAGGGACAACTCCCCCGGGAGACCGCACGGTGCGCCTCAGGCTAGCGACATCATGCCGGCCTCTGCCGCCGCAGGCCCGCCCCGCACTCCGTGACCCTCCCTACCGCCTGCCCCCGGCCTGAGTGAGCCAGAGCCTCCGAATCAGCGGCTCCTTTAACCCGGTCCTGTCTGAGCAAAGAACAGACGCCCTCCGGCGACCTACACGCACAGGCAGGGCCAAATCCAAAGGTGAGCCCCTGGAAGCTGTGAGAACAAAGAAGAGAAAGGGAAATCTCTCCCAGCAGCCTCAGAAGCAGCAGATTAAAGCTCCACAATCAACTTGATGTACCCTGCATCTGTGGAATACATGAATAGACAACGAATCATCCCAAATTAAGGAGCCGTGTGGATGAAAGGCTCTTGGTGCTGCAGCCAGGAGTTAGTGCTGTGCCTCTGAGGTGGGAGAGCCAACTTCAGGACACTGGTCCACAAGAGACCTCCCAGCTCCACATAATATCAAACGGCGAAAATCTCCCAGAGATCTCCATCTCAACGCCAGCACCCAGCTTCACTCAACAACCAGCAAGCTACAGTGCTGGACATCCTATGCCAAACAACTAGCAAGACAGGAACACAACCCCACCCATTAGCAAAGAGGCTGCCCCAAATCATAATAAGTCTACGGACACCCCAAAACACACCACCAGACGTGGACCTGCCTACCAGAAAGACAAGATCCAGCCTCATCCACCAGAACACAGGCACTAGTACCCTCCACCAGGAAGCCTACACAACCCACTGAACCAACCTTAGCCACTGGGGACAGACACTAAAAACAACAGGAACTACGAACCTTCAGCCTGCAAAAAGGAGACCCCAAACACAGTAAGATAAGCAAAATGAAAAGACAGAAAAGCACACAGCAGATGAAGGAGCAAGATAAAAACCCACCAGACCTAAAAAATGAAGAGGAAATAGGCAGTCTACCTGAAAAAGAATTCAGAATAATGATAGTAAAGATGATCCAAAATCTTGGAAACAGAATAGACAAAATGCAAGAAACATTTAACAAGGACCTAGAAGAACTAAAGATGAAACAAACAATGATGAACAACACAATAAATGAAATGAAAAATACTCTAGATGGGATCAATAGCAGAATAACTGAGGCAGAAGAACGGATAAGTGACCTGGAAGATAAAATAGGGGAAATAACTAATGCAGAGCAGAATAAAGAAAAAAGAATGAAAAGAACTGAAGACAGTCTCAGAGACCTCTGGGACAACATTAAACGCACCAACATTCGAATTATAGGGGTTCCAGAAGAAGAAGAGAAAAAGAAAGGGACTGAGAAAATATTTGAAGAGATTATAGTTGAAAACTTCCCTAATATGCGAAAGGAAATAGTTAATCAAGTCCAGGAAGCACAGAGAGTCCCATACAGGATAAATCCAAAGAGAAATACGCCAAGACACATATTAATCAAACTGTCAAAAATTAAATACAAAGAAAACATATTAAAAGCAGCAAGGGAAAAATAACACACAAGGGAATCCCCATAAGGTTAACAGCTGATCTTTCAGCAGAAACTCTGCAAGCCAGAAGGGAGTGGCAGGACATATTGAAAGTGTTGAAGGAGAAAAACCTGCAACCAAGATTACTCTACCCAGCAAGGATCTCATTCAGATTTGATGGAGAAATGAAAACCTTTACAGACAAGCAAAAGCTGAGACAGTTCAGCACCACCAAACCAGCTCTACAACAACTGCTAAAGGAAATTCTCTAGGCAAGAAACACAACAGAAGGAAAAGACCTACAATAACGAACCCAAAACAATTAAGAAAATGGGAATGGGAACATACACATCGATAATTACCTTAAATGTAAATGGACTAAATGCTCTCACCAAAAGACACAGCTTGGCTGAATGGATACAAAAACAAGACGCATATATTTGCTGTCTACAAGAGACCCACTTCAGACCTAGAGACACATACAGACTGAAAGTAAGGGGATGGAAAAAGGTATTTCATGCAAATGGAAACCAAAAGAAAGCTGGAGTAGCAATTCTCATATCAGACAAAATAGACTTTAAAATAAAGACTATTACAAGAGACAAAGAAGGACACTACATAATGATCAAGGGATCGATCCAAGAAGGAGATATAACAATTGTAAATATTTATGCACCCAACATAGAAGCACCTCAATACATAAGGCAAATACTAACAGCCATAAAAGGGGAAATCGACAGTAACACATTCATAGTAGGGGACTTTAACACCCCACTTTCACCAATGGACAGATCATCCAAAATGAAAATAAATAAGGAAACACAAGCTTTAAATGATACATTAAACAAGATGGACTTAATTGATATTTATAGGACATTCCATCCAAAAACAACAGAATACACATTTTTCTCAAGTGCTCATGGAACATTCTCCAGGATCGATCATATCTTGGGTCACAAATGAAGCCTCGGTAAATTTAAGAAAATTGAAATTGTATCAAGTATCTTCTCCGACAACAATGCTATGAGACTAGATATCAATTACAGGAAAAGATCTGTAAAAAATACAAACACATGGAGGCTAAACAATACACTACTTAATAACGAAGTGATCACTGAAGAAATCAAAGAGGAACTCAAAAAATACCTAGATACAAATGACAATGGAGACACGACAACTCAAAATCTATGGGATGCAGCAAAAGCAGTTCTAAGAGGGAAGTTTATAGCAATACAATCCTACCTTAAGAAACAGGAAACATCTCGAATAAACAACTTAACCTTGCACCTAAAGCAATTAGAGAAAGAAGAACAAAAAACCCCCAAAGTTAGCAGAAGGAAAGAAATCATAAAAATCAGATCAGAAATAAATGAAAGAGAAATGAAGGAAACGATAGCAAAGATCAATAAAACTAAAAGCTGGTTCTTTGAAAGGATAAACAAAATTGATAAACCATTAGCCAGACTCATCAAGAAAAAAAGGGAGAAGACTCAAATCAATAGAATTAGAAATGAAAAAGGAGAAGTAACAACTGACACTGCAGAAATACAAAACTTCATGAGAGATTACTACAAGCAACTCTATGCCAATAAAATGGACAACCTGGAAGAAATGGACAAATTCTTAGAAAGGCACAACCTGCCAAGACTGAATCAGGAAGAAATAGAAAATATGAACAGACCAATCACAAGCACTGAAATTGAAACTGTGATTAAAAATCTTCCAACAAGCAAAAGCCCAGACCAGATGGCTTCACAGGCGAATTCTATCAAACATTTAGAGAAGAGGTATCACCTATCCTTCTCAAACTCTTTCAAAATATAGCAGAGGGAGGAACACTCCCCAACTCATTCTACGAGGCCACCATCATCCTGATACCAAAACCAGACAAGGATGTCACAAAGAAAGAAAACTACAGGCCAATATCACTGATGAACATAGATGCAAAAATCCTCAACAAAATACTAGCAAACAGAATCCAACAGCACATTAAAAGGATCATACACCATGATCAAGTGGGGTTTATTCCAGGAATGCAAGCATTCTTCAATATATGCAAATCAATCAACGTGATACACCATATTAACAAATTGAAGGAGAAAAACCATATGATCATCTCAATAGATGCAGAGAAAGCTTTCGACAAAATTCAACACCCATTTATGATAAAAACCCTGCAGAAAGTAGGCATAGAGGGAAATTTCCTCAATATAATAAAGGCCATATATGACAAACCCACAGCCAACATCATCCTCAATGGTGAAAAACTGAAAGCATTTCCACTAAGATCAGGAACAAGACAAGGTTGCCCACTCTCACCACTCTTATTCAACACAGTTTTGGAAGTTTTAGCCACAGCAATCAGAGAAGATAGGAAATAAAAGGAATCCAAATCGGAAAAGAAGAAGTAAAGCTGTCACTGTTTGCAGATGACACGATACTATACATAGAGAATCCTAAAGATGCTACCAGAAAACTACTAGAGCTAATCAATGAATTTGGTAAAGTAGCAGGATACAAAATTAATGCACAGAAATCTCTGGCATTCCTATACACTAAGGATGAAAAATCTGAAAGTGAAATCAAGAAAACACTCCCATTTACCATTGCAACAAAAAGAATAAAATATCTAGGAATAAACCTACCTAAGGAGACAAAAGACCTGTATGCAGAAAATTATAAGACACTGATGAAAGAAATTTAAGATAATACAAATAGATGGAGAGATATACCATGTTCTTGGATTGGAAGAATCAACATTGTGAAAATGACTCTACTACCCAAAGCAATCTACAGATTCAATGCAATCCCTATCAAACTACCAAGGGCATTTTTCACAGAACTAGAACAAAAAATTTCACAATTTGTATGGAAACACAAAAGACCCCGAATAGCCAAAGCAATCTTGAGAATGAAAAACGCAGCTGGAGGAATCAGGCTTCCTGACTTCAGACTATACTACAAAGCTACAGTAATCAAGACAGTATGGTACTGGCACTAAAACAGAAATATAGATCAATGGAACAGGATAGAAAGCCCAGAGATAAACCCACGCACATATGGTCACCTTATCTTTGATAAAGGAGGCAGGAATGTACAGTGGAGAAAGGACAGCCTCTTCAATAAGTGGTGCTGGGAAAACTGGACAGGTACATGTAAAAGTATGAGATTAGATCACTCCCAAACACCATACACAAAAATAAGCTCAAAATGGATTAAAGACCTAAATGTAAGGCCAGAAACTATCAAACTCTTAGAGGAAAACATAGGCAGGACACTCTATGACATAAATCACAGCAAGGTCCTTTTTGACCCACCTCCTAGAGAAATGGAAATAAAAACAAACATAAACAAATGGGACCTAATGAAACTTAAAAGCTTTTGCACAGCAAAGGAAACCATAAACAAGACCAAAAGACAACCCTCTGAATGGGAGAAAATATTTGCAAATGAAGCAACCGACAAAGGATTAATCTCCAAAATTTATAAGCAGCTCATGCAGCTTAATAACAACAACAAAAAAAAAACCAAATCCAAAAATGGGCAGAAGACCTAAATAGACATTTCTCCAAAGAAGATATACGGACTGCCAACAAACACATGAAAGAATGCTCAACATCACTAATCATTAGAGAAATGCAAATCAAAACTACAATGAGATATCATCTCACACCAGTCAGAATGGCCATCATCAAAAAATCTAGAAACAATAAATGCTGGAGAGGATGTGGAGAAAAGGGAACCCTCTTACACTGTTGGTGGGAATGTAAATTGATACAGCCACTGTGGAGAACAGTATGGAGGTTCCTTAAAAAACTACAAATAGAACTACCATATGACCCAGCAATCCCACTACTGGCCATATACCCTGAGAAAACCATAATTCAAAAAGGGTCATGTACCAAAATGTTCATTGCAGCTCTATTTACAATAGCCCAGAGATGGAAACAACCTAAGTGTCCATTATCGGATGAATGGATAAAGAAGATGTGGCACATATATACAATGGAATATTACTCAGCCATAAAACAAACGAAACTGAGCTATTTGTAATGAGGTGGATAGACCTAGAGTCTGTCATACAGAGTGAAGTAAGTCAGAAAGAGAAAGACAAATACCGTATGCTAACACATATATATGGAATTTAAGAAAAAAAAATGTCATGAAAAACCTAGGGGTGAAACAGGAATAAAGACACAGACTTACTAGAGAATGGACTTGAGGCTATGGGGAGGGGGAAGGGTAAACTGTGACAAAGCGAGAGAGAGGCATGGACATATATACACTACCAAACGTAAGGTAGATAGCTAGTGGGAAGCAGCCGCATAGCACAGGGAGATCAGCTTGGTGCTTTGTGACCACCTGGAAGGGTGGGATAGGGAGGGTGGGAGGGAGGGAGACGCAAGCGGGAAGAGATATGGGAACATATGTATATATATAACTGATTCATTTTGTTGTGAAGCTGAAACTAACATACCACTGTAAAGCAATTATACTCCAATAAAGATGTTAAAATGAAAAAAAAAAGATAAAAACTTATTTTTGCCATTAGAAATTATAAACGGCCAGTTTCACTGATGTCATTTTTCACTCACAAGAAAAGTTGTGTCATATATATGATTTTTCTCTATTTCCAAAGATCATGGTGTAGAAGAAATCTCTAGATAAGCTCCAGAAAGGAGTGTAGAAATGTTCCATTTAATATTCTTACAAATGTAGTTGAAAAGAAACCTGGCTTTGACTCACCAGTTCTTTAATTATGTCTTCTTGGTTTAGGTTTTCACATTCAATCATCTTCCATTAAAAATGAAGGTTATAATAATATAACTGTTAAGGAAAAGGAAAAGTTGAAATAAGTACTAGAGTCATGCCATATCATTTAAAGGAGCCTTAAAGTTACTTAGGTGGAATTACTCACCTGTGGCTTGACATTTCCCAACAGTACATTACCAAGTATGTCTGGACCCCAAGACAGTCCATTCCATCTATGAAGTTTTCTCTTAGACAGTTATTTTTTATTCTGAATTTAATTCTCTCTCTCTATAACTCCTCCCCATTCACTGTCATTTTACCTCCTGGGTTCAAATAAAACAAGCATAATTTTTCTTTCACACTATGACCCTTTAATACTTGAAGAACATAGTCATCTCTCATCTATATGTTCACCTTGCCCTCAGTTCATGTCTTTTAGTTCTCTCACTAGAAAGAGCCCTGTTTTCTCCCTTGAACCAGTTCCAGTTCATTCATCCTATTATACTATGGTGTTCCAAACTGAATACAGTTCTCTAAGTACAGTTAGCAAAGAAAAGAATTTTCAGGGCTTAATGACACACCATAGGCATGGTAATAAATGTTTATTAAAATGAATTAGTCAACTTCCTCATTTTAGATGGTATGAACTACTAAATACCTAAGTAGCTTCAATAAAATTTAACCTAATTTTTCATAATTTTTAATATATTCATTATATTATTCCAGACATATACTATTTTAAAAATATAGGAATCCTGGTTTTAATATGAGGACATGACAAAGCAATATGTAGAAATTGTATTTATTTGTTTATTGTGATTCTACCTTTTACGATAATAACTCCTCCACAGATATGTGTGTACATACATGTGTGTATAGATATAGAATAGAGATATGTATGTGAGTTTATGATTATGCATATGTAAGGAGAAAATATGTAAAGATACATACTAAGTTGTTAACATGAGTTACCTTGGATATAGGTGAAAGCTGGTGTGGTTATAATAGGCATGAGAGGTTGCATGGAGATGGATCTAGGTAAAAAGGAAAAAAAAAACTCTACACTTTAAAAAAGCATGTTTAGTATTGTATAATATGAATATATAACCATTTACTTATTCATTCTACTGTTAGTAGACATTTGGACTGTCTCCAGTTTGGAGCTGAATAGTGTTTTCCTGGACAGTTTTATTATGCAGGACATAGGTACAGTTTTCTTTGGGGTTTATACCTAGGAGTAGAATGAGAAAGAAACTATTGGTGTACATAACATGGATGATTCTCACAAACACAATATTGAACAAACGAAGACACAAACACAATGAGTTCATACTGCATGACTCCATTCATATAAAATCTGGAAACTAATCTATGGTATTAGAAGTCAAGATAGTCATTACCTTTCAGGGCTGATTGACTAGGAGGAGGCAAAAGATAGGTTCTGGAGTGCTGATGAAGATAAATTTTTTGATCTAGGTGCTAATGGAATGCATTTACTTCGAGAGAATAAAATTAGATACCTAAGATTTGTGTGGTTTCTACATACATGTTATGAAATTTTACATAAATGTTTATTTTTAAAGTATTTATATGCTCACTTTTAATCATTTATGCAAAACTTCATACATGTGCAGGTGTACATGTAAATTAAAATTTTAAGAAAAAAAAGATGGTGACTTGAGGCCATGTATTTACCTACCTTCTCTGCTCAAATCTCGCTGGAATGACTAGGGAACTAGGAAAATAAGAAAGGAATGTGTAGCAGTGCTAGCAAAAGAGCACTGATGGCCAGAGATGTTGAGAAAGGTCTTTTGAATGAAGATAAAGCAGATGGCATCAGACTGAGAGAAAAAGCCCATCAGTACAGACCAGCCCAAAATTCAAGGTACCAGAGGAAGAAATTTTACAAAACTATCCTTTAAAATTCCCCAGGGCTTCCCTGGTGGCGCAGTGGTTGAGAATCCACCTGCTGATGCAGGGGACACAGGTTCATGCCCCGGTCCGGGAGGATCCCACATGCCGCAGAGTGGCTGGGCCCATGAGCTATGGCCGCTGAGCCTGCGCGTCCGGAGCCTGTGCTCCGCAATGGGAGAGGCCACAACAGTGAGAGGCCCGCGTACCACAAAAAAAAAGAAAAAAAAAATTCCCCAAACTCAGAGCAGCAGTGATTGGGAAGAAAGTGGCTGTGGGCCATCCAAAGAGTCCAAATCAAAGGATTTTGAGATCTGTATCAGGGTAATATTTACAGCCTATATTTGTACTCAGGCTTTGTAAACTGGGGACATTGCTCCACTATGCTGAGGAAGGGATCCCAGCTAGCACCACAAAGAAAAGTACACCCAGAAAGTTATCCTCATACAATGGAATCTCTGTTCATTCACTCATTCATTCATTTATGCATTGAGGACTAATATCTACCAGTTAGAGAATAATAGATATGGGAGAAAAGAGAAGACCTCTTTGATAATGTGGAATCTGGGCAAAGAACTGTGGAAAATGAGGCAGTACGGGCTATGAGGAATCTTGGGGAAAAGCATCAAAGCATGGGGAAAAGAAAATGCAAAAAAAAAATGGGTGAAAGTATACTTGACATGTTTGTAGAATAGCAAGTGAGATGATGTAGCTGGAGCACAGTGAGGGAGATGGAGACCAGTAGGATGTGGGGTCAGAGAGGTTCTGTGGGGTCAGATCATGTGCTATCCTGTAGGCTTTTATGAGGATTTTGGATTTCATTATGAGTAAGATGGAAAGCTGTATGAAGATTTTGAAAGAAAGAATAACACAAGCTGTCTTAGGTTTCAGAAAGGATCGCCCTAGCTATTCTGTTGAAAATGGACTGTAGGGGTTGAAGGGAGAAGCAAGGAGATCAGTCAAGGGGCAGTTATAATAACGTGAGAGAGGATGGCAGCTGGAATAGGGTGGTAGTAGTGAGGATGGTGAGCAGTGATTAGATGATGGATCTATATTAAAAGTAATATTGATCATTCCTTCCCTGCTTCCAATTGGCAACTGTCTCTTTACCCCATTCTTGGACAACCCCCAGATATTACAGCATAGGAGTGGCCAGGCAAGGGAGCATGTAGCAAGGAACAACCTGAAGGAATTTAGATAATCCATCAGAGGCCCATACAGAGATGCAGGCCACAGTCTTCCCTCCTTAGGTTTACTTGGATGGCACCCCAAGTAAAGGAGGGCTTTGTAGTACCTCTTCTTATCAGAAGAGAAGCCCCTACATTCTGGTTTAATGTCTGTGAGCACCAAAGGAAAAGTCTGTCTGCCCACCACCACACAAGGGATAAAACCTGCCTTTAACACCCCCAAAGTCAACAAACAGCCATCCAAGTTTTCTAGTCCACGTCCAAGATACCTATTACAGAAGAAATTAACTGCTCCCTTCATTAGTCACTAAATTATCACATATACTTGAGCCTAATTTTGGACTTTCTAATCTGCTTTCCCTTAGCTCTATCTATTCCTACAGTATTATCCTGTATTGATTACTGTGATTCATGTTGTAAATTTCTATCTCATTTTCTTTTTTGGAAATTTCCAGTTATTCTTTCATATTTATTTTTCCAAATAAGACTTATGATTATTTTGCATTTAGTTTTTAAAAATTCACTTGGGATTTTGACTGAGATGCGATTGTAAAGATTAATTTAGGGAGAACTTCCATCTTTACAGTATTGAGTCTTCCTCTAGAACAAGATATAACTCTCCATTTATTCAAGAAGACTACTATGCATATTTGGGGTACCAACCTTTTCTTTCACTTCACCTTATCCTCCCTTCACCAATGCCCTCATTTAGGAAAAACCTTGTTGTAATTCAATAGTTAATTAGCAAAACAAAATTTAACTTAAAACCCCCAAATTCTATAATTTGCATAACTACATCTGAATTATGTGATTGTGCGTAATTAATTATGCATAATTATGGGCCTTCCTGGTATTTACAAGTCTTGTATGTTTTCTCCAGTCACAAGTGGTCCCAAGGCTTCCAGTTTCTGATTCCATCAAGAGGTGAGTGTCCTGATGCCCAGCTTGTACCCACTCTTCTGCACCTTGGGAAAGCTCTTTTCAGGGCCTGCCCATCTAAGAAACTACAGATCTTCTCTAGTTTCTCCAGGGAGCCAGGAGCTACCAGGAGCTTCTATAGCTTTCACGCTTCCAATCTCAAACCTTGGGTTGATCTAGTCACCTGTGCTCTCTGCTTTGGAGTGCTGCTGGAAGATTTCACATGGCCAGTTGGTCATGTGAGTTGAAATCACTGCAAATGTATGGTCTCTAACTTGAGTTGAATCCAACAACAGACATTTTATATTTTCCTCTTCAACTTCCTCTCCTAGGGAGTAGGACTAGAGATACAGATCTGGGATTCACAACGTCTGGACTATTCTAAACTTTCACCACTCTTCTCAAGTTCTCTCTCTCAGCAGATGATCTTGTCCCCATTTTCACAGAGAACAGTGACACCATCAGATATACACTCCTTAAATTCCCACACCTCTTAAAATATACAATTGACTCTTGAACAATGCAGGTTTGAACTGCACAGACCCACTTATATGCAGATATTTTTCCACAGTAAATACTGCAATACTACATGGTCCATGCCTTTTGAATCCGAGGATAAGGAGAAACGAAGGATAAGAGGGCCGACTATAAGTTATACATGGATTAACCCCCAGTTAATCAGTTCAAGGGTCAACTGTATTTCTTTCACTTTCTGATTCCTGTCTTAGTAAAAGTATTCTTTCTCTTGCCCAAAATGAATCCCTTTTCCTGTGTACTCATCCCATCCTCTTCAGTCTCTTTCAGAACTTTGGTCTGTCAAATTTTCCTTCTTTTCATTTATTCCCCTCTTTCTTTCTCTAGGGTCTCTTTTCTCTCTATATATGAATGTTAGGTCATTACTATCTTTAAAAAAAAGCTCTCCTATCCTGTGTTCAATGAACAGCTGATTTTAGATCCCTTTACAGGAAAACTTTTAGATATAAGTCATTAGTACCATATTATAGCATTAGGAAACATTACAAAAGATATGTAGTCATTAGCAATACTTCAGTACCTCTATTCAGTTCTCAGTTTACTGCAGTCTCAGTGAGGACACCTCAGGCCACTGCAGTTTCTTTTTCCAGGTCAACAATAATCTAATTGCCAAAGACACTAGACATGTTTCAGCTCTCAATTTGACCCTGTCATCGAATCTGATGATGCTAATGGCTCTTTTTCTGCTTTGGTGTGACTTTTTCTCCTTGGCGTCTCTCTATTTGTTATGTAAAACTTAATTTTCTGATTAATAGTTTCCTTCTTGCTGAAGAATTACTAATTTTTATCTTCCTCTTTTCTGTGCAACACCCAACTACACACATGGAAAGCTCCATCTGAATGTGTCTCAAACTCAGTATGTTCAAAACTGAACTCTATATTTTCCAGCCAGCCTGCTTCTCCTAATGCATGTTTTCTCTTGGTAAGTGACACCATTCTTTTAATCATCCAAGTCAGAAGCCTGGAACTTATGCTCAACCACTCTTTTATTCTTTCCCCCACTTTTGCTCACTCATTAAATCTTTCTGCATATACCTCTTAAATGTCTATCACGTTGTTGTTGTTTTTTTTTCCTCCCCTCTATCCAATTGCCTCTGCTTTGATTCAGGCTCTCATCACTTCAACTTAACCAATGCTTTCCCTATAGTCCCACTTCCTGCCAATCGATCCTCTACTCTACTGTGACAGCAACCTCCTGAAAGGGAAATCCACTCACGCTGCTCCTCTTGGAAGGTATTCATGGTCTCCAAACTCTAACTCCTGTCTACCTCTCAAGCTCATCAACCACAAACTCCCAGGAACAACCCAGGCTCTGGCCACAACTATAGTTCTCTGAATGGCATGGGATATTTCTGTTCTTGGCACATGCTGTTCCCCCTCCCTAACTGTCCCTTGACTTTACGGCATACTCCATATACCCTTAAAGATTTAAATCAAGGGTCTTCTCTGTGAAGACTTTAATTCTCTCTGATAGTATTATAATCATTCTTTTCCTCATGACTCCAATTAAACCCAGCATATGCCCTATATACAACACCTGTTCCACTGTATTGTGATGCTTCCAGGTCTTTCCTCCTTGACAGGTTACATGTTCACTGAAGGCAGGGACAAAGAACCTACCACAGTGCCTGACACATGCTTGGTGTTTGATAAAAATTTGTTGAATGGTTTGAATTAATTGTCATGCCACAGGGTCCTATATGATATAACTTAAATACTTTCTGTACATGACCAATCAGAGTAGAACAATAATTAGAGTACAAAGAGTAATGTTTTTGTCTGCCATGAGAGCTGGGGAGGGTGTCATTGTGAGCAAATCAAATTTCTTTTCTACAAACTAGAAGCCCTGTATGGTCAAGTAAAACTGCTTTCTCATGAAAAATATGAGTGCAGATTTTTAAATATATTTTCATTTCAAATATTTTATCTGTAATATTGACTGCTTATAAACATACATAAACATAGAAAAAGAAAAAATAATTTTACCTGTACATTTTTTTATTTCACAGAAATTTCAGTTTCTGTCATTAATTAGTTAAAAATTAATTGGGTACAAATGGATCAGAATCCATCCATTATTACTGATGGGCAAAAAAACGCCCTTCCAGCTCTAGGTGAGCAGTATCAAGTGTGTCCAAGGAGCAGTTCGTTCCCTCAGTAAAGGCTGCACAGGCGGCTGTGGGCCACCCTCCCTCTCCTCCTCCTCCTCCTCCTCTTCAGCTTTGCTCTGGCAACCGTGACGACCTCAGATAAAGTCATGTCACTGTCTCTCATTATCATGATCGCCACTGCACCGTTACAGGGGTCTTTTGACCTCAACGTTGCGTCTCTCTTGTCTTCCTCCCAGCGTAGCCAGAGAGAGGAGAGGGGAGCAGAGACTCCTGGGGCCTGCCTACAGGTGAGGTACTCCCAAAGGCCACCAGGGGATAGTCACTCACCTTATCCCAGAGAGAGGATGGATTCCGGGGCAATCCGAGACAGAACAGAGTCCACTCCCACTTCTTAATCCCTGTCTTGCAGCAGCAGGCACGACACCCTCTCTACCGTGGGGCCTGGTGTGTACACACTACCCCGCTGCGGTTGCCTAGGAAACCCGCCCTCCGCCTCCCGCGACCTCTGGGTGGGGAGGGGGAGAAAGGGGCGGGGAAAGCGGTGGCCGACTTGTTTCTGGATCACGTGGTGGCAAGCTCCAACCAATCAGCAGAGGTCGGGGTCCACCCGGAAGACCCTGCTGGTGCTCCTGGGAAAGGGTGGGGAGCTTCCCGAGCTGCGGGTCATTTGATCCCTGCAGGTAGCTTTTCACTCACCTTCGCCGGATCAGAGGCCCGGATGGGAAGCGACGACTTATGGCGGGGACTTAGTCGTTGCCTCTTCCAGTCCCGGCTCTTTCCTACTGAAAATCTTTGACCTTCATTGGAAGCCCGGAGCCTCGCTGGACTTGAACCCCGAAGACACGACGCTGTGATGTCAAGGCGGCCAGATGGTCGAAACAGGCCCTGATGCCCCCCGCGCGCTCTTGGTCCTGCGGCCCGCCACCACCGCCCTCCAGGAGTGTAGCTGACTGCAGCCCGAAGCCGCTGAGCGCAGAGCGAGCCGAATGGAAGGACAGCGCAGGCCTACGTAACGCCCTGGTGCCCTTCAGAGAAGACATAGGACCTCCAAGGGTCTTCTTGTCGTTCGTCGACAGACTTTTGAGGGCCGTTTATGTATTCCAAAGTGTACAGGAGGCCAAAAAATTTTACAAGATAAAATTTAAAGAGGGAAAGGAAAGAACTTTTAAAAGAGTGGGCAGAGGGGCTGAGGAATGAATGAACTTAGGCAAATCAAAGTAACTGCAGGTCTCGTTTCATTTTCTAGATCTGCGCTGTCCCACATGGCAGCCACTAGCCACAGCCACGTGAAATGTGGCTAGTCCGAATTGAGTTGTGCTGTGAAACACACATGGTATTTTGAAGACCTAGCATGAAAAAAATATGTATTGATTACATGTTTAAATGATAATGTGTTTTGATATATTGGTTTAAATAAAAATGCCTTATTAAAATTACTGTTTCTTTTTACTTTTTAAAAGCGGCGATTAGGAAATTTTAAATTACATATGTGATTTCTATTATATTTCTTTTGGAGAGCACTACTATATTTTTTGAGGTTAAGTTGATTTGTGTAGAATATTTATGACGTTCAGTTCATGCAAGATAGTGTCTGTAGTGCTCTTTTCCGTCACCAGATGGCTGCCTCATTCAATAGACTATAGTTTAAAACTGCTTTCTCATGAAAAATATGAGTGCAGATTTTTAAATATATTTTCATTTCAAATATTTTATCTGTAATATTGACTGTTTATAAACATACATAAACATAGAAAAAGAAAAAATAATTTTACCTGTACATTTTTTTATTTCACAGAAATTTCAGTTTCTGTCATTAGTTAAAAATTAATTAAAATATTTATGGTTTAAGGGTTTAAAAAAAGGACCAGAAAAATCTGATTCATATTTGTACTTTTACTATTAACTTCTCTGAAAATCTAGTTGAACAAGATGACCTGTCTGGGTAAATTTTCATCTTAGAGTGTAAAAGCTAGATAACAATAGTTTAGAAATTTAAACTTTTAAATTAAATTAAGAAATTGGATCAGAAATCAATTAGGTGAATTATCTACATCAAGCTTCTCATTTTGGGAGATGCAACTCTTGCATAAAAGTATAGAGATTATCTACTTTGATATTGTTAGAAATTTTTATTGTGACTTTCCTAACCAGTAAAGGACTAGGAGAAAGCTAACACAGTTTTCGTTATATTATATAAATGAGTAATTTTAAGAGTGTTATTTTTAGGTAAAGCTCAAGGATTTGGTCAGCAACTGAGTCAGAGTTCCTGTATAGCTGTAGACTGATAACCATTGGTGAGTTGCCAAACTAAAGCCCTTGTCCTAGTAATTCTTAAAGGAAGAATTGCCTGTTAGCGTGTTCTAGATGGTATTTGGAGCAAAAGGTGATTACAGTTAAAACCAGAGAAAGCATACAGAATCAGTGACCATTCTTGTTAATCTCCTTTTCTTATTTTAAAGCTTCTTTATGATATGGTTTTATGTGTCTGTACCAGAAACAACAGAAGTAGAAGCCACTAAAAGTCAAGCAAAGTAAAACATTCTAAGTGAAATAAGACTTCATTTCATTCATCAGTCTGTTCATACTCCTAGACAAAGGCCAAAACATATAAATTTAAATCTACTTTATTTATGGATAAAGGTATCTTGAACCTGAAAACAATTGGGAAGCTATCTTACCACTGATTATGGCACACTTACCGTGTCACCACCTGAATTAAAGAGGAATTACTTAAACAAAATAGAGATGACTATAGACCTAAATAAGAAAATCTTTCTTTATTAAAATCTTTTGAATAGATGGTTAAATTGATTTCCCCCAAAGCCCTATTCTTATTGGTAGACAACAGTGGAGACATCTAATTACAATTTGGCTTTGTAATGTCTTCAAGTTTAATTCCAGAGAACCAAAAGTCTGGAGATTTCAAATGCTAATTTAATTTTTATATTCTTGTTGACATTTGATCCTTATGCAAATGAGTACTTTCCAGTTAATGATTTTATTAGATTATCTGTGAAAATTTGCTGTCACATGTTTAAATTTGATATATCGTGAAAACACGAAGGCAGCACAACTTAGGGTTTACTTTGGCAGCGGAAGAGATAATTTTGTGGTGCATATAAAGTCATCAGCAGGGGTCCTCTTATTACTCATGTCTGGCAATAAATATATATTATTCAATTAAAAGGTAGGAATTATCCTGAAATAAAACTTTAATTAGACCAACAGAATGCTATTTCTAATGAGTCTATCTAAAAATGTTAAATAATCTTTGTCCATGATTTGTTGACATATAATTAATGCACAAGCTTTTCTTAAAAGGCAGCCAGAACGGAATTGTAAAAAGATACTCCACTTCAGACAACATAACCTCCTTATTTTACCTTCCTAATTCTATTTGTATTTAGCTTTATGGTAGCAAATTGAAGGATAGTGAATTTAAGAAGGGATGGTAGTCTTAATTCGCTAGAGAGCTGACCAGTTCTTTGTGTGGGAGAATTCTTTCCTCTACCTCCTTTCTTTTGTGTCTTTTATTTATTTATTATACCTGAGGCTCAGAAAATTGATTGTATTCCTCAGATCACAGCACATTATCGACATTTGTCTATATAAGGCCCTTGTTTTATTTTATATCCAGTCCCACCCCCATCCCAATAATAGCCATACATTTGATGTTTCTTATAAACCTTGAGTTGTGCATCTATCTTTGAAAAACAGGCAGTACTGTTTTGTGTGTCTGTATTTTTTATTTATAAAAAGTTATTGTGGATTTTTGCCAGAGCCTGCGACCGAGTGGGAGTGGAGTGGAGCGGCTGTTGTTGCCAACTCTTTCCTCCTCCCCACGGTCCAGTCAGCTGGTTGATTAGGCCATCGGCCCTCAAGCCGAGACCTGTCTCTTATTTAGTTCTGGGGAGTGCCTGGTCAACATGAGTGATGTAGAGAGAACAACTTCGAGGGCAGAGAGCCTCGCTCTCAGTCAAAATCTCCAACGGGAACTCATGCTCATGTAAAATCAGAGAGCAGGTCAGGATCTCATAGTCCATCAAGAGTTTCCAAACACTCTCAATCCCATTCTCGATCAAGATTAAAATCCAGGTCGAGGTCAAGGAGGCATTCTCATAGACGTTACACTTGATCCAGATCCCATTCTCACTCTCATAGAAGACAATCTCAAAGTAGGTCCTATACACTAGAATACCGGCGTCACAGGAGCCGAAGTCATTCTCCAATGTCTAACCAGAGAAGACATACAGGCAGCAGGGCAAATCCAGATCCCAACACTTGTCTAGGAGTGTTTGGCCTCAGTTTGTACACGACAGAGAGAGATCTTCGCGAAGTATTTTCTTGATATGGACCATTGAGTGGTGTCAATGTGGTTTATGACCAGTGAACTGGACGATCACAAGGATTTGCTTTTGTTTATTTTGAGAGAATAGATGACTCAAAGGAGGCTATGGAAAGGGAAAATGGAATGGAGCTGGATGGTAGAAGAATTCGTGTAGATTATTCTATCACCAAGAGAGTGCACACACCCACACCAGGCATATACATGGGCAGACCAACTCACAGTGGTGGTGGAGGCGGTGGAGGTGGAGGTGGAGGTGGAGGAGGTGGCAGACGTCGAGATTCTTACTATGATAGAGGATATGATCGTGGGTACGACAGATATGAAGATGATGATTACTGGTACAGAAGAAGATCACCTTCTCCTTACTATAGTCGATACAGATCACAATAAAGATCTTGTTCCTACAGCCCAAAACGCTATTGATAAACAGAGTGGCTGCTGTTGAGGACATCTTTTTCTTTTTTTTTTTTCCCTTTCTCTTTTTTTGTTTAATTCTGGATTTCTCCAAGCTTCTAATCCTTCCTACTCCTTAAAAACATCTTTGGTTTATTTAGCATCTACACTTTGTCGATTGTATTGCTGTTTTCACCCCTTTTATTATATTCTTAAAGATGTAATTGTTGTCATTTTGAGTAGTTAAACATCTTGAGTAAAACAGGAACCCCTAGTGTTATGCTTTTGTAAATGGTTTTTTGTTTGTTTGTTGCTTTTACAGAAAATTAACTCCTGACTAATCGAATGAAGAAAGAAATGATCTTTTTAAAGCTTCTTTTGTGTTAGATATTGTATTAGACATGGTATTAGAGAGCTGCATTTACTACAAACTCCTTTTTTAACTTTCTTTTGGGGAAGTTAGTAACATAAAGTAGTTCAGTCATGTCAGGTTTGTCTGGGGTGGCATGGAGCAATCAAATAATTGAGTGTAGAAAGTTTGAAGCTATAGAAGAAAACACTTGGTCATTTCTTTTGAAGAATGGAATTTTTGAACCCTAAAAATTATGTCATTTTTTTAGAGATGAAAAGCTTGTGGACTCCTACAAAACATGTTGTATTTAAAATACATTTGTTAAAACTTAAAAACGTAAAGTTTGATTTTTGTGTTGAAATTTTTGAAGTTTAATCAGTGAAGGACAAGCCTTATTATTTAGAGCAGTTGTATGCTTTGCTGTTAGAAATTTTGGTATTGGGGAAGTGGTTTAAGTAGGCTATTGTATAGAGTCCTTAGAAATAGTGAGGGGAAGGGTAGTCTCCTTTCAAATAAAAGTTAATTTCTTTGAAAAAAATAAGTTATTGTGCTATAAATTGTATTTTGATTCTCTTTCATTCAGTGCTATTTTAGGATCTATCCTTGTTTCTGTATGTTCATGTAGTTCATTGTTTCTGTATTATGCACATTATTCCATAATATATATCTACCATGTTTTATCTTTCATTTGTTCCCCTAGTGATGGGCACCTATTTTGACTACAATAAACAATAGGGTATTGAACAGCCTTGAAATTGTTTTCTTAAGGACATTTTCTCTGGGGTATATGCCAGGAATAGAATTATTGGGCAAAAGGCAAACATATACTTCACTAGATATCATCTGATAACTTTCCAGAATGGCTGTTCCAGATTTCCCTCCCACCAGTAGTGCTTGACAATTCTCATTCCCCTTTTTGGGGAAATATAATTAAAACCAAAATCTCCTGGCTACCCAGAAAACCTCTCCACAAAGGTAGAAGGAAAAGAAAGCAATTTTATTACTGAATAAACGTTAAACCAGAATATGATTCATATCACAGGCAATCCCCTGAAGAGATGGAAGACAGAAAGAAACCTAACCCTTTTATATAGCCAAGCAGATACAACCCATCCCATACATGTTCTCAAATGATAACTAGGCCTTAAACAAGAGGACGTGACATAGAAAATGGACTTGAGGACACGGGGACAGGGAAGGGTAAGCTGGGACGAAGTGAGAGAGTAGCATGGACATATATACACTACCAACTGTAAAATAGATAGCTAGTGGGAAGCAGCTACATAACACAGCTCTGTGCTTTATGACCACCTAGAGGGGTGAGATAGGGAGGG